ATCTAATATAATGTTTGTTGGAAAATATGAATATTAAACACCCAAGAATTTCATGCATCAGCATAGTGATATTAGATTCATGGAAATACTAAAGAATCAAGTTCTTTGTGTAGGTAGTAGGCAAATCTATGTGTATTATTATGTTTCAGTAAAGGTGGAAGAGTTAATATTCCACACAAATTGGAAGTGACAAAATCATGAGAGTAAAAGTTTTCATTTAGTGCATTGTTGTACATCATACTCTTCCTTCACTTTTCCCCCTTATTATTTTAGTCATAAAATGTTATTGAAAAATAAGAAAATTTATCTGTATTTGCAACAACATAAAGGTCAGCATGTGGCCCCTCTACTACTTTGACCAAGATCATTAACTGGCCATTGGGCCATCATTATTGCTGAAACCATGTACCAGATCATTTAATACAAATCTGATTCAGGCAAATAACTGCTTTTTTACTGTAACACCGAAAGCACATGAGATTGATTCTGTGCTAGCTTCATGCCAACTGTGGAAGGACAGGTGACATCTGGGCTAGTACAAGGCCTGACCAATAAAAATTAACCCATCAGAATTGTTTGAAGGAATTTCAATGATCACCATCAGTTTGTACTGAATAAAAAGCATTGCTTACTGTGACTTGTAACCGAATGTTAATTTTAACCACTGTAAAGTTAGATTTACTGAATCACTGAATTACTGAACCTAAGGTTCCACTTACATTCCATCTCCAGGGCCACAGTAAAAAATTAAACAAACTCAGAATTTAGACTAAGTATTCTTGACACAGGGAATACAAAGCAACATGTGTTAACACACAGAAGAACACACAAAGACATACAACAAAACCGAACATTTTGTATTCCTATCACATAAAAGATGTGTCCTTCTTCCTTGTTAATATAATGTTTTCATAAGATTTAACAAAAGTCATCACTGCCCTTCTCAGAAAGTTATTGAAATGTGTGCTAAATGTTTCAAACTGCTATGCTAACATTACTGCATCCACTGTTCTAGGAAGAAATATTTTCCTTTGTGCTATTACGAAACAAAAATCAGCATATCTCACACAGGTGTCCACCAACTTCTAAACCCAAATATATTGAGCTCAAGGCTATTTTTGCCAAATGTGGGCCCAGCTGCTTTTCTGTTTTTTTCCAGATACTACAGAATTGAGGCCACAATGAAAAGCAGAAGAATATAAGTTTTACTCTCCCATACCTGTGCTAACCTAAGGTCTGTATTAGCCAGTCCCAGCAGCTCAAACGACTCAGTTCTTAGCTGTTGAAAGTCAGCATGTGCAAGTTGCCACCACCCTTGCATTGCATGCACCTGAAGCACAGAAATTTGAGATCTGCAGCTTCCCTTCAAGCACGAGAACCAAGCTTACACCCCTGCCTACTCTTTGCAGGTAGCTGGCAATAGGTCACAAACAGAGCATGATTAGCTTATATTCCAGTGGAAAACATTAAGGGGCATCAGCCAGTCCTTGTGATAATTTTGGCTAGATTCCATTACTTGTGTTGTTTGTATTACCTTGTGAAGTCAGGTTGCATCTCATACCAGGATGGATTTTACCACTGAAAAAAATCTGGGTAGAATGCTGATAGTGATAATAATCAGACCCCATCTTGACTTTTTATCAGTAAGGCAGCAGAACATAAAAACTAAAATAACCAGTTTCTAGAGAGCAAAGGGGAAAGTATGTGCAAATAAAACCACAAAGTGACAGTTTCTGCAACTCTTTCAGGCATGGGCTTGAACTCAACAGGGAAACAAAGACTGCTGTAAAAGAAGAGTTCATTCTCTGACAGCAACCTTCAAAATAGAATGGATGGTTATATTACACCATGGTTTTCCCATAGTATCATAAAAAAACTGCAGAATAATCTAAAACAACTTGTCAATTACAAATTATTTCTTGGCTGGACATCCCATGAAACCACAAAGGCTAGAAAGAACAGACCCATTCCTGCACTGGAGGGGGCAGAGGGGGGTGCTGGGAATCAGGTCAACAGTGGCACTGAAATCCAAAATCCAAACAAAGTAAGTTTGTCAAATATTAAATATTCCATGAGTTATTTGTAGGAACCAGTAGAGTTCTGCTGCAAACTGGGGAATCAGTATGGAAAACTCATCCATATGGAGCAATGCAGAAACTGCACTTGGAGAGATCACCGGCATCTGTCTTTATCACACAGATTTCACCCCTGCCCCAAGTCTCTCTCACACAGAGGTATTACCTGGTCAAGCCAAATTGATTTCAGCAGCCTTTATTTTTACTAATTCGCTTTGGGGTTATTATTAATCAATTTTTTCTGGGCATGTAATTTCCAATCTCTAATGTCTTGAATTGTGGTATTAGCAATTTTATCAATGTCTCTGTCTTCTCTAAAAGTTTAGGCTAGGCAGATGCCCCCACTGCTGCTCAGAGACTTTAGATTTTCTCAGTACGGCTCTAAATTAAGACAATGAAATTTAGAGATTTTGTCTCAGTCAAGTTTTTAACACAAGCAGAAGGATAGTTTTATTAAGGAATATGCAGTGTGTCTCATGACCCAACTGATCTGAAACATCCATAATCCAAAGCTCCAGTCTCCTTCAATACCATATGTAGCCTCTTTAAAGTCTTGGGAATAATTTTTAAAGACACAGTTCCTCTGGACCACAAAAGATAATACATACACAAAAAATACTAGCTTACCCTAGAAAAGTCTCCAGAGAAAGGTCCAGAAGTAGGCATACCTTACCAGTCATTTGAGAGGAAGTCACCTTCTCCGTTGCAGCTCCAGCCACATCTGATCCAAAGCGAACCATGGTAATGGCTCATCCTCCCTTTGCCTACTGACTCAAACCTGGCCCTCAGACAGGCTGCTTCTCTTGGAAAACGAAAATAATTAACGCCTTTTCCCCTTCAAATTTACGCACCTTGTGTAAACACCCCTTCACACGACTCCACATCTTGTAGTCAGGGAACATCTTTCACCACTTTCTTAATGGGTGTCTGCATATGGGGAAGGAGGAAGGGAGTGTAGGCAAGTTATATGCCGAATGTCTTTCTTGTGTGGATGGAGGGACTGAGATTTAAATCTGCTCTATAAAAGAGCAATCAGGAAGATGCAAACATTTTGGGGTCTTGAAGTAAATATAGGTTTAAAACAGTGACTGTGACGAGGCGAAATTAGCACTGTAAAACAAGAACTAAGACAACACACCTACATGTGTTCCCTGCTTCTACATTATGGTTAAAAGAAGGAGGAAGTGAAGCATGCATAATATGAACTATAAAATAAGCCACAAGGGTGGGGAAGCATTATGTTAAAATTATTGCTGAAACAGAATGAGTGTTCTTCAGAGAAACATTAGTGCATCATGAGACTACGTCACTGTCATTCTTATTTTCCCTTTTCTTGTTAGATTATCTGAACAGAAAACAGCAGAAATTTTCCAGCAAATTTTTTTTGGATATTCATTAGATTCCTTAAATAAAGAGCATTTAAACCCAGACTGCCAACACAACAGTAATCACTGTTGAGTACATCTTTGTTTACAAAGCAAAGCATTAAAACCAGGAGACTTTCAGTGTCTTGCTGGGCCTCTGGTATCTCTAATCACTCTTTTTAAAATCCAGTGTCTTGCAGCAGTTAATAATGTGGTTGACATCCACACATCCCTTAAAAATTGTGCATTTAAAACTATTCCTGTTTAAAAACAGATGCAATACCATACTCACAAAAATCAAATTTTTTTGATCTAAAATTCACAGAAATGTTCAAAAGCTCAGAGAAAACTTTTACCTAACAAGGGTATTATGTACTTCTGCTATGAGTTATTAAGATCTAAAGATGTGCTATGGTAATTTTTTGCCTTACATTTATACCTTTTTGCATTAAATAATTATAACAACTGACATGCAAAAATGACAACATTTTCAAAAGTGAGCTGGCTGTTTTATAAAGTTACTTAGACTATGTCAAAAGAACACCCATGGTCACCTTATTTTTGAATGATGGCAACTCTCAGTAAAAACAGAGGATTGAAGGGTAGCTGTGACCTAGAAGACTCATCTTTCAAAACAGAAAATGAATGCTATGAGAACAGGATAAAATTGTCAAGCACTGGTAGTTCTGCAAAAGGCAAAACCTTACAGCATGTAGGACAAGTTTTTTGTTCTTACCAAAACTTTGCTTAATGTACCACCCGTGCAAGTCAGCTTGCTCACATAAGTTGTTTGCTTCATGTTTTTAACAACCATACATAAAGTCACATTTTATTTTTATGGTAACTGAAACATTCAAAGGCATATTAATTATTAAAATTAGTTTTATTGTGAAATGGCATATACACTTTAGGAAAACAGGTGATTTTAATATCTAAGAAAATTCTTATGAATCTACATTTTTTGGAGATGACTGAACTTAGACAGCAGTTCATTAAACATAATACCAATTTTAGTTAGAATTTATTTGTACCCCCATCTGCTCATCATGTCCTCCTCCTGCTCCCTCTCATATTGCTGTGAAGTTGTATCATCTTGGGAACTTGTCCTTTTTTAAAGTTACAAGAATTTTAATAAAGTTGCAGTCACTGGGACAAAATATTTCAATGTCAGTCTTCCATCTCACTGACCTCTGGCAATTTGCAATATGTATTCTGCTCAAAGTATGCTACACAGTAAAAGGCTTACTTCATTTCAGGAAATTATGCAAGAGGAGGTAAATATTTCCTCTTTATAAATTTTCTATACCAACGCTGTTGTAACATAAAGCTGGAAATCAAAGATGCAGGAAAAATCATGTCACTCTTTATCAACTCTTTTACTGCTCAAATACCACAAAAACAGACGTTAAAGAATTAAGTTATATTTGAGGATTTATAAATTAAGTAATTTTTATGAAGTATTTAAACAAACTAGAACTTTAATTAAAAAAAAAAAATAGTTGTGGTTGTCCTTGTCAAGAGTGAAATGCAACTCGTAGGTGAACGAAGTTCCGGTTTGTGACTGTGTGCTGGGCTGAGACAGATTTAAATCTGATCTACGTCAGTTCATCATGAATGGTAAGAAGATTTATCCTACCATTATCTTTTTAAAGTATATGAGAAAATACACGGTTGGAAATAATACAGTCTATGTCTAAAAAAAAAAAAAATCATAAACTATATGTCAATTGGAACACTCTACCTGGGTGTGACATTTAAAACCTACAACTGTTTCCAACATTTTGCAATGCCACCAATTTTAGAAAGCAAAACTCAGCCTCAGATTCTAGAAAATCTTCATAACTGTTTTTATGTCAACATCACTCTGAGAAAGTAAAATAAGCACATAATACTGGTAAATAAAAAAACAAGTAATATATCCATCGTGCCATCAAAGTTGTTTGGTACATACTGTGAAAGATGCAGTGTAAGAAAATCAATTCAATGTTGACTTAGCACGTGAGAATTAAGTCTGGTGCAGTTGGGACTGTACTCATTTTGCGAACAGCCAGTACATTAGTGATACACTAATATAGATGACACACAGCATTATCCAGTCTATTCTTCTAATAGGTGGCCTGTTACCTTTCACGTGAAGAAGGGCACTGGATGAGACAGTGCCGTTCAAGTTTTTAGCCCGAACAACATAGAGGCCAGCATCTTTTTCACACACCTTCTGAATGAACAAAGCATGCTTTGTCTCCTTTTGTAAAAGCTTTAAGTGCTCATCTGCAGTCAGTTTCTGGCCCTCCTTGTACCTGAAGCAGAGAGTCAGTTTTCAAGTCAGAGTTACATCACAGTATGCCACGCAGAACTTTGCAAGTTCAGACAATCCCTGCAACCCTACATTGACAGCTAGAGATAGAGCTCACTGCTGTGCTCTCATTTCTCAGTCTTAATCTGTCACTATGGATGAACAGTTAAACAATGCAAGTTGCTGGATAATACATTCTTAACAGTAGAAAATGTGGTTCTCAAAATGGTTTTCAATGAACAAGTCACAGTTATCTCACTGCAGCATTAGAGAGGTTACCCGAAGGCCTGGGCCCTCAGTTTTGCACTGAAGCATTTTTGCTAGTAAGGTCTTGAGTCAACCCACATCCAACTCATGAACAGTTCTTAAGGCTCAACATACAAATATTCTGAACTTATGTCTTCAGTATAAAGGACAGTCAAGGACCTTCCTCCATCCCAGCCCATTTAACATCTACTTAGCTCACATCAAAGAGGATAGAACAATGCACCAGGAGTTACTTCAGGTGTCATATTCTAACACTTGAGATCCTGTCACTATGTACTGGTATTGAATCCTGATTTACATATTGGGAATGAGAGAAAATTCTGTCTCTTCTTGCCTTGTGATGTTTCAGCATAAGCTACATTTAACCTAACACAATCACACAAATATTTTTCCACATGTATATCTAATAAAATGTTTGCATAAGTATAAAATACATATTACTGGTTAATTTTTAAGTAAAAACCATCTTTTTTCTATTTCCCTGAATTTCTAATTTGCAAAATGATTTCAGTTGAATTCTATTTTTTTAAAGGACAATATATCAACAGTGCATATATTTTCAAGCTAAGTTAATGCTTTCTTACAATAAAATAAAGTATCACTTGTTTCACCACTAATATTCCTCAATCTGTGCAATACTGGGATTTAAAACAAGGTAATTTTATTGACACCAAGAGAGTATAGCACCAAGGTTGCAGTGTCCAGCATTTTTCTCAGTGCAACAGAAGAAATTTCAGTTTACCAAAAACTTACAGTTTAAGTCTTCAAATGTGTAATAATAATATTAACGTTTTTCCAGTAAGAGGCATATTTAATTTTAATACATTAAAAGAAAGGCCTCTGTTGTGAAAGTCTAATGGAATAAATGGAGAAAAGGCAAATGAGGTAAAAATGGAGGAACACATGCCAAAGCATATAGAACTACTACCAAAATCTTTGGTAGGGAATTTTTAGAGTCGTCCTAAAAGAAATTTATATAACATCATCTTACTTCCCACAAATGCAGTATAAGGTAATCTAAATAGACATATAGCAATTAAGAGAAAAAGCACATAAATATATCATATAAAACTGATTCTCTTAATGTGGATATTTAGGTGGATATTTTTTACCTGTAACCTCTCTTGTTTTTGACAATTGACTCTCATGTATATGCAAATATCTTAATATATATGTAGTCACTAAATAAATACTTTAGTGTGCACACATATCTATGTGTCTGTCCATACATGGTGCCCAGATCCTGAGAATATGCAAATTACTTTATTTTTGCTAAATCTGTAGTGTGCAATTATTTTAAGAAATCATTGAACAAGTGAGATGTGATATTCTAGAATATAAAAACTATATGATGTATTTGCTTAAAAATAGTCAGATATGCTTGGAGCAGTTTGATACTCTTATTTGTAAAATTAAGTACAGGGAGATTATTTCAAGTTGGTTAATTGTCAGTAGGAATTTTGAAGGTGGGAATCATGCAGCAGCGTGGAGTAGAAAGGATAAAAGCCATTTATTCCAGTCTCTAGATTAACTGATTTGGTTATTGGTGGTTCATGGTGACTTGCTACTAGGTATATTTACTACTTCTCATTGTAAGCTACCCACCATGTCAATGTAGGCTCTGGGAATCCCGTTACTTCTACTTCCAAAGTTACTGGAGAACCTTCCATGACGGTTTTGTTAGACAGGATCTGGGAGAAGTTAGGTGCCTGTCCAGTTAGGCTGGCCATGCTGTTCTTTTCTGATGAACTTATAATCTCTTCTCGGGTAACCATCTGCCTCTGACAGCTTCTGGTGGCGTCTGATTGAAACACGAAACCTGAGAATGCATCAGGCAAAGCATGCAGCCTGTCCTGGGTTTTAGTACAGTTATTCAAGTCATGCGATTGTTCTTGTGTTTCTGCCATGCTTTTGTGAAGTTCAAGGTGTTGTAAATGTGTTTTGCATACTTCACTCATCATGCTAAATACTGGTTTGGCTTTTACAGTGCAGGAAGCAGTGCTAGTTTCAGATATTCCTTGTAAACTGCAAGTCAAAGGAGATACTGCTCTGGCTTTTGCATCAGAATCTGTTAAAGAGATACAAAACTTCTCAGAGTGATCTGATGGGCTTTCTATTCTATTAATTGTAGCATCAGCAAAAGCAGAATTTGTTAAGAGATCAGACGCTTCCACCATTTTTTTCATACTAGTGGTTTTCTGCATTTGCAAGCTATAGGAGCTGACATGCAGACTATGAGAACTACAGCAGCACTGCTCTTCTAGCTCTGTTTCAGAATGTAAGAGGTTGGATTCTGGTGTCTCAGAAAGTGGCGGCAAAGAGATATCATCAGGTGATATACACTCATATTCATCTCCGGAGAGTATTTCTTCTGTCAGGAATCCAGTCTGTAAACTATCCTCTTTGGCTGAAGATGACAGCTCTGTATCCTGTGAAATAAGATCCTCACCAGCTGGACAGATAACTGGAATATCAGTCAATATATTCCTCTCCTTGAATTAGGAGAGGAAAGAAGAGAAAGGAAAGAAGAAAAAGAAAACCAAGGAGAGAGAGTTATCATTCAATACATTCCTTTGTGCAGAATCCAGCAATAATATTTCTTCTAGTTAAGCCTAATGCATTCTGAGGAGCAAAAGGAAATGTGTGGAAAAAGATAATTTGTCAGAAAATGTTGCAGCAGCTAACTGGAATTTCAGAGTGTTTGAATAGATTCTAGAAGACATTATTCTAGAATCTATTCAAACACTCTGAAAATTTGCAAGGGGAAGGTGAGGGAGGAGGTGGTCTAATTACATCTAAATGGACAACAGTTACATAGCAATAAAAATATATTAACAGTCAAGTTGCTGGACTTTGACTCTTTCAGAAAAATAACTATGCTCACAGGTCAAATAATTAAACCAACATCTTTATAACATTTTCCAAGCATTTTATATTTCCTCCATTTTTTTTTTACATTTTGCCAGCTGTTCCAAGATCCTGCCAAACATTAAAAAGGAAAGCAATGTTAGAATTATTTTTATGTTATCTTGGATCCAGAAAAAAAAAATTCCCTTTCATCATGTTCCAAAGAGAACTGGGTGAGGCACACATGCATTAATTTTAATCACAAAGCATCAAAAACATTATCTGATTTGTTAATTACTTCTCAGCCTCTTGATTTTGATATAAATGTGTAATCACATATTTAGATTTCAATTGTGCAAAGGCTCTCAGCAGAGGTATTCATAATGCTTTCTTGTGTTATTCTGTCACTGCTGAGTTCTATACAAAAATATTTAATCTACTATGCAAGGTGTCTATCACCTATAAATACATTAAAATACATAAATACATTGATTTAAGCCCACTCAAATCAACTGAGTGATACACTGGATGCCGTTGCTTTACAAACCAGCTCTCTTTGGCAGCATCCAGTACAAAAGTGTAGCGGTACATTTGTTTCGTGTTTCTTTTGGCCTTACTGCTCTAAATATAAGCTAATATTAGTGCACAAAATATAAATAGAAGTAATAGAACTTCACATTTGCCCTGTTCCTTTAGATATGTTAGTTTTAATATAGATGTTTTTCCAAGTTACTACATTTGCTTTTTTTAAAGCCATGTGATTCATGCCAGATCCATGAATAAATTGCTGGAAGAAGGTTGTGATTTTACTGTGTCTATTTTACCAAGTAATTCAATTCAATTATAGGACGAAGACCAAGTTTGACTACTAAGTGTGTTTTCCAGGAGCATCCCATCGTGAACTCTGAATTTGAAGAGCAGGAAAATGCTGGGAAAGAATGACAGGTGGGCAGCAAGTGAGCAAGCTGTCATGTAGGCTTCGACATCATGAGAACTTTCAGTCCCAGTGTGCCACTTGGCATCAAAGAAGCAGGAGGATCAATGTGCCATGAACAGTTCTAGTTCACTTTTTAGAGGGTTATATTTGAAGCAGATTAATACTGCAAAAGTACCTTGCAGAAGTATAGAAAAAATTAGAGATTGCTGATCCACTAGACAAGGAGGCTGGAGATGGACCAGGTCTTTCCTTCAAAAGAATGGAAAAAGAAGTCTAGTGAAAAGAACCCGGTAGTTCTTTAAATGAAGTATGGAGTGATGAAAAAGGTGGAGGCATCATGGTTGCCATAATTCACATCTGGTATTTGCTGTTTTGCATACCCTTGACTTTTCTCCTTGGCAGCTGAGGCACAGTCTGACAAGGACTGACAAAGCTGTGGCTTAGCAAAATAGGAAATAGGGCTATGGACATCTGCTGGGTGAGGTGATTCATCTAAAGGAGGCTCTTTGGAACAGTCACAAAATTTTGAGTGAAATCTGGGCTCCAAGTCAATGGTGAAATTTCCACTGGCTTGGAATGGAGGTAAGAGAATTATTTAGGTCTAATTTTGGCTCATCAGCAAATGACAGGAAATTCTGTATTGAACTAAAGGGAATGTTATTATTAGCTGAATTTCTACAAAACATCACAATTTAATGTCTTGTAGTATTGATTTATGTTATTAGCTTATAAAATGGAATTTTCAGATCTCTGAATCAGTTACCACATTTAGATCCTACCTTTCTAAGGAGTTAAATACATTACCAGCCACTCCAATTTACCAGACTATTTTACATAGTAAATTATTTATATTTACATTCAGGATTCCAAGTCTTCAAGATATTCTTTGAGCTAAAGTAATTAATCTCATAAAACATAGATCTGGCTAAGTATTCACTGCATTTCTAAGGCTTCATTTATTCATTGGCAATTTGGAACCTTTCATATTCATTTACTGTATATCCATGAATAAAACATGCTTGTCTGTTTGGATTTTTACCATTCTAAATGCATGCTCAGTCTTCCACTATCTAATCTTTTTGCATTGTCCTCAACATGTATGCAATCCATACTCTGGAACTTATTTATGATCTCCACTGCACAGAATTTTGGCAACTGGAATGAAACTTAAATGTTTTCAGGTGAAGGTAAAGATGACTATTTGATGTTGAGTTCTGTCATTTGGTGTATAGTGTCATACCAACAGTACAACAAATTATATCCGATAGAATGTCACACTGAACTACGACAGCTGTAGTTGTGTTCCATCATGTTTGCTATGAATGCTTTCCTGTCATTCCCATTGCTGTTAAACTCAATCAATTGCTTGTTTTTTCAGGTTTTTTGGTAATACTGTAAATGAGAATATAATCAAAGCTCACCAATCCATAACAACAGCCCTCATTTTTGAGACACAGCAAAGAGTAGAATTCCTTTGAGAGTACACAGTGATGCTCATCAATTTGATTAAAAATAAATTAACATGAACAGCAGATAGATACCTGTTTAGTGTTGGTAGGAGACAGAGTATTGCTTCTCTTCGCAGCAACGCTTTCAGAATTTGTAAACAATTCACACGAAGCCATCTGAAAGAAAATTATTTTAAAAACCCACTTTTCTTTTCCTGATTAAGACATTAACGTTTCAACAAATTATCACAACTTCCACCATTACTGAGTTCAAATTCTGAGCTCTGAGGTTTCTCTTATAGGATATTACTTACAAATCAAATACTTTCATAACTTGTGTCTGGGCATCATATGAATACTAGGGCTCTGGGACATACTAACAACAACATCCTCTATTAATTCCTATATTCCCTTCAGTCTATTACAAAGGAGGAATGGACACAAAGAAGACATCTACAATAAGGGTACTGTGGCAATAGGACCAAAGAAAAATTGGTAAAAGATCAAGAAAAGATCAAGAAAATAATATTATTTTAGAAAACCAAAGGGATATATAGGCACGTTAAAAGAACCCTAAAAAAAAAAAAACCCTCAGAGGGAAGAATATGTGGATTGTATAGAAGGAAACGGGGTAACTGAAAAAAACAAAAACAATTGACTAAGACTGCACTGATAAAACCCATCTTAACAGAGCCTTCAAGAAAGAAAAGCAAGAAACTTTCCAGCAATACATAAAGCCCTTTAAGAAACATAGATCTAGTTATATTTTAAAAAAGCATATAACTAACCTGCTGCTTTTGCTCCACAGCTTTGTCTTTAATAGTCTCACATGCTTCTTGACCATTTATTTCTTCTCTTTTAACAGTAACCAACTCTTCAGAAAACTCAGCTTTCTGCAATGTGAAGAGAAAATCAAATAAGGTTATGCACAATAGAAAGTAGCAATTGTTGGCTGCACACTGACTTATGCTCTGTACAGTAGAGTAAGAAAAAAAAAAGAAAAACAAAAGAAGTGAAATCTTATCTAAAACCTGTCATCACCACAGGTGTAAATTGCTTATGACAAAGAAATGCAGCAAAACCTGATTAATTCATTCCTGAACAATCACTGACAACATTTTTCAAAGCTGAAAGAATCTTTCCTGAGGCAAGGAAATTATAGGATACCAAAGACTGAAGAATTCCAGTGGCTATTCAAGAATCTGAGGTATATTAACCAATTTTGTACCCAGTCTCAGTAAAGGGAAACAAAGGATGAAGAAAGTAACACTATTAGGAAAAACAAACAAACAAACAAACAAAAAAGATAAACCACCAATCCAGAAAAATATCAGGATTTCAGGAAAATTCAACTTTCAGTAGTTTATGAATGGTTCTGTGTGGAAAAAATTGTTCTCCAAACAACTCCTTTGATGAAAGATAACTTTAAAGTTATCAAAATTTGGAACTGGACTTCGATGATCCTTGTGAGTCCCTTCCAACTTGGGATATTCTACAGTTCTATGGAAATTAGACAAAATAAGGTATTACAGTTAGTTTGAAATTCCACTTCTCTTGAAAAGACCATATGATGTTGAGCTAGCAGAAGAGATAAAAGGGTCAAGCCCTGTTTTGACAGAACCTGTCCTGCACACAGTGGCATTTATGTAATACATGAACTGGGGGAAGAACTTAGAAAAACTGAATTGGTGTTTTTGTTGAAGTTTCTTTATAGTTACAGTGCAAGGCAAAGCCTTCTTTCCATTCACCTAAGGAAATTTGGAACTCCTTTGTGTTTTTGGCATCTCTTACCACTTTTAAGAGTATTAATGGATAATCTGAGTGTTTGTCAATATTATAGTATAATTCCATAAGTGAAATACATTAAGTATCATCAAGAGCAGGATATTTAATCATCTTTTTGAACTTCACAGAAGAATTAACTCATCAGCTACTGCTATAAGTGGGAGATTTTTCAAGTATTACTTTGAGAATGGGAAGGTGGAGTAGACAGTCTTCATTACAGAAATCTAGCCCTATCACTTGTGTGTTCAATAATTCCTCCTAACCTATTATGTTATACTTCATTACACCTAAAGCAGCTTATCAGAATATGAAACGAAAAATTTTATGGGTTTCTTTCATTTTTTATATTAAAAGCAATGTTTTTCTAACTCTAATTACTTTGGGTTTAACACAATTTGGTTTTTGGGATGTCTTCAAGAAGGAGCCAAGGTAAGTTGTTTGGCATTTTGTAGATCTAGCAGTTACCTGTATTACAGTACCAAAAGAAAGAAGAAAGATATGAAAGAAAAGCATCTGTCTAGATAATCAAAGAAATTGTGACATTTTCCTCTAAAGGTTATTTGAGAACCTTTTTTGCTCTGAAAGAAGCAAAGAAAGAGAAACCTAGAAGAAATATTTAGTGCACAAACAAGTAGCACTTCATTGATTCATGACAATCATTCCCAAAGGTGGCAGAAAACAGAAAATTAGGAACTGTTTCATCTGCCATAGTCGATCCTCAGCTAAAAACACTGTTTCAGACACTAAGCCCAACAAGATGATGTAGATGCAATACATTCTCCAGATTAAAAAAAAAAAAAAAAAAAAAAAGAAAAATACCTTTATCTCCTTAAGTTCTCTCAGAGATCCACACAACTCATCAACAGAACTAATGATTTCTTTGTACTTCAATACAGTTTTTTCAACATGCTTCTTTCCTTCTTCAATACCTACAAAGACCAAATAACATGAAAGTAGAACAGAATGCCTCAAACAGATCAGTGTAACAATCAGGATACTATGTAAGCCCAACATATAATTACATTTTTCTATGTTTTGTTTTGCTGAAGGAATTTTGTGATTCATAGTAATGGGCTTTCCTACCTCTTACTAGCTTACTTGATACGGACTCTCATAGTTGTTGCAGGGCGTCTATCTCTTGAGTGCTACTGCTTTAAAAGATGCTGACCTCATAAAGTGTCTCCTAAAGTAGTTGCCATATTATACAGCTAGGAGGCACTTAGATCCCTCTTATAAGAAGTACAAAACAAAGGCTGGATAGAGAAGCTTTTTCCCTTGTAATGACTTAAAGAACAAAAAGCAGCTTCTTTCTCCTGGCATTCCTAATCAGCTGTTGACAAGAATCCATTCTGTCACCTCCTTTCCCACAGATAGGAATGCTTAAAATATTAAGAAGGCTTTAAAAAAAAAAAAAAAAAAAAAAAAAGGAGAGAAAAAAAAAGTGATCTGTGCTTTCTAAATAGTCTTTTCAGCACTAAATTAGAGGAATTTAGAAGCCCAGCTTGACTTCTGAAATTTTTTTCAGTTTTACTACTTGAATTGATAGGCTATACAGCATCTTAGCACTTTGGGATGGTCACCTCATCTTTGGATAAAATAACTTCATAAAGTATATAAAAATTACAAGTTGGAGAAAAAAAAACAACAAGCAAAATATGAAGTTCTTTTGACTTTTGTTTTTTTTCAGTCAACAATGTTCCAAATCAACACAATAGTAAATACAGTATCTACATAGCAATCTATATTGTTTGTTAATAAAAATTTGGCAATCGAGTCTTAGTACTTATTCACAGTATTAATGTAAAAAATTAACTTGGCACTGAGATATCCATACAATATCACTACAATATCCTCTGACTTCAAAGGCTTGCCTGTTATGAGATAGCTTAAGCCATGAAGTTTCAGTTCCAAGCTCATGAATATTACAAGGACATTTACTCTTCTATTTCAAGGTGAACTCCAGCTGTATACAGAAAACTAAGTAAATACCAGACTGTATAGTACGTATTTTATTTTCTTGTAAATATTTGCTTTGAAATCCTTCACCTCTTCCAGCAAACACTAGAGAACAGTATTTGATTTTTAAACTTCATGGGATTTTCTTCTTCAATGAACAAATCTAAGAATCTGCTTACAAGTTACTGTATTTTTTTCCCAACAGTTCATTACCAGATATCTCCTCACCATATAGCTGTTTAGCAAGGTCCATAATCTGCTGAATTTTTTCTTCTTGTTGAGGCACTGTCGGCTCAAGAAACTTATTGAATTGCTTATAGAGTGTCTCTATTGCTTCTCTTGTTTTGCATTCTGCAGAATATTCGCCAACTCTAATCACTGTTGCACTCACATCTTCAAACCAAAATTGACACTGAGGGATAAAAAAACCTGCATTATAATGACTTATTATCTACAGTTCAAGCTGTGGTAGAATAGACTGGGTTAGCCTTAGATTTTCCATAATCAGTGGTATATGGTATGTCTTCAATTTTCTGACTTTAATCTAACCTGAAAAACATTTCTTCATTACTAATGGTGCTTCGAGTATTAATAGCAGTTAAATTTTTGTTTAAGGCCCATGCTTATCTTACAAGCATGGTGAGGTTATTAGTTAAACATAAGTTTTATTTCTAAGTTTTTTCCACCTTATATATCAACTGACTAATTTAGAAAATTTCATATTATTCTTTTGTAAGGGTTGAGAGGTTCTTTAAATTTAATGTGCCAGCAAACACGTTTTTTGGTCTCAGCAACCATAAAGTTGTGAGGAATCTTTCTGTTGGCAAGAACAGCCTTTAGAACATAACCACATTAAACATCTTTGTTTAATGATACTCAGAACAGAACAGAATCTGGTGTTCACTCAGTATCATCAGTTTTGCACCACTACAGGAAGCAGTTAATAATCATTATTTCTAACTGCCACTGAAATCAGTATTTAAGTCTGTGCTTATTTACTGAAAGAAAAGTTTTGAGTAAAAAGGGATACTTTAGGTTGAGGGGAAAAAAAAAAAGGCAGTCTTAAATTTTAGCTCTAAGAAATAATTTATTTCAGTTAAGTAGAGAATTTAAAAATATAAATGTGCAACAAATGTTAACAAGTTGCTTTGCTAATGGTATATGAAAACATTGATCGGATCACTGGACACTGAAAACATATTTTGAACAAAACTTTAGTATTGTGATCCATCATTAAGGGAACTTGTCACGCACTTAGATCCCTTTGGAGATATGAACAGTGTTATTTCTAAAAATAAACAACGATGACAGGAATGTGCTTGCCCACAGCAAGAGCACCAACACAATGTGGCAAGAGGGGAAAATACTGTTATAACACTGCTACAAACTTTTTTTATTTGTTTTTGAAAGAGGCAATGCATGAGGCAGTCATCAGACACATTAAAATAAAGTTATGAAAGTCTCCAAAAAGGTAGACTGCAGTTCAGAAAAAAATTATACATATACTCAAATTTAGTCTATTAAAAACAATTTATATGCTTCTACTAAGGAACTGAACATTTTACATTTGAGTTCCAGAATTACATAAAACACAGTGGGTACTGGGATAACCTGGCTCTAACGGTTTGATGGCTACTAAAGAGGGCCTTGTAGCACTTTCTGTGTTGCCTCAGAGCACACTTAGAGAAAATGAGCTCCTAAGTATGATCATAGATAGGCTGAATGACTATGAAAGTCATATGGAGGTGGAGACCCCAGTCGCAAGAACATGGTCACATTGCACATTTTTCCCCCTTTCACCATGAATTTACAAAGAAACAACAAAAGAAAATTAGGGGGTTTTACCAATTCATTACTTTCAGAAGCCACAGATTATGCCTGAGGCAGTTATAGGAAGTTTTACCTATCCCTGTCCTGCATCATTATTACAGCCACAGTGGGGATCTCAGGTTTACTAGTACCTCTTTCATCATCTGTTGCAATTGCTCCACTAGATCCAGATTTTGCTTGTAATCTTCCACAACCACGCTAAAGTCATTCAGTTGTTTTTGTAACTCACTGATTGATCCCAAGAGGACTCTAACTTTGGCATTAGGTTTATCTGCAAAAGACTCAAGGATTTTCTTCTCTAAATTATCCATCTTCTTCTGAAGAACCTGTTTAAAAGATGTAGAAGCGTTAAATAACATAGCAAAAATGTTTCTATTTTTAGGAATAAAATTTTTAAAAAAAGGGAAAAGCATACAGATTTTTTTTCTTGTCCTGTGTTTTAAAAAGTTGCTGTTTCATAAATAAAACAAAACTTGAGGAAACAAATATCTGTAGTAATAAAACATGGTCATGCGTGAATTGCAAATAAAAAGATCATTAGAGGAAGAGTTTCTGATGAATGCAAAGAATGGGTAAGGCTAACAGGGTTCTAAGGTGCAAATGGGCATGATCAACTCCAGGCAAGGGACACAACAAAATGCTCTGAAGAAAAAGATTCATTTTACATGATGACATGAAAAAAAAAACAAGAAAGGAGCTTGATGCAAAAGGTCACACATATTGTGAAGGAACAGAAGCAAGAATAAAAATTAAATAGAAAAATAAAGGAGAATAAAAGGAGTGAACACAGTGAAGTCAGAAATTGAGATAAGATCATTTAACTGAAAGAAATGGAAGAATAATGGGAACAGAACAATGAAAAATGTCTCAGTCAATGACTGAGACAGGGAAAGAATATAAAGATGAGTAACAGGGAAGTTCACAATACATTTTGTGTCTCCTCTGATGTGCTTGGCACAGGCCACAATTTGACCAATGAAGCCTTTACTAAAGCTAAAATTTCTATTACCTGTATTTTCTCTGCATATGTATTGACTTGTTGAATCTGTATTTTAAGTACTTTCAAATTTCGAGCTTTTTCAGTTTTCTTCATATAGTTAAACTTCAAATTGTTGAACTTCTTTTTGAGATCTTTAAACGATTCTCTGAGCTGAAATAGAGCAAGCTTATATTTTAGTAAAAAAGAAGAAATCAGCACACATCAATTTAGGTTTTTTCAAGAGCTGTTTAATGGACAATTTGAACACAACATTTAATACATAAATTAATAGTACTGTGCCATCTTATAAAGCATCCTTATTTCCTTAGAATTTCTTTACAATAATGGAAACTCAATCTTGCTAAATCAAAATTTTTGCATTCTAAATGCAGAGCATTGTTCCCAGAATAGCTGGGGCAAAAAAAGGACTGGGGCAAAGGACGAGATCCTTACTTACACCATCTACAAAAAAATCCTGTCCAAGAGTTTTCATTGATTTTAACTAGACATCCTTCAAACACTTTAGTCCATTTGGTGGAAATTATAGCCGTGTAAATGTATACCCATACTTAGTTTCAAGAAAAACATAGTTTTGCTGAGCCCAGGGAAGTAGATTTGTATGTACTCATTGTACCTTTCTCCTACAATACAACATTGCATTTATTTCAGGTTGGATTTGCCTTGGGTTTTTTTGTTGGTGTATTATCCCATCTCCACCCCTTTTTCAGAAGTCCTGCTTCTGTAAAGAAGTTACATATGGGCTTAATTTTATGCACTTTGCTAGTCCAAACATCTTAGAACAATGTTTCACAGCATACAAAGAAGAATACAGCTCTTTGTAGGATCAAGATATGGACTATATAACCACCTGACTTTTGAATAACTATGCAGAGAGATCCTGCCTAACAGATTCAGAAAGCCCTACCTCATTCCTGCCAAACAGATTTGGTATCGTGTGATGGCATTATTACTAATTAGCACCGACTCAGTGCAGCACAGCAAACACTAGGAAAAATTATTCTTATAATAATATAAATTTTAATAAAAATCAATAAATATAAATAAATAATAATATTTATATTTTTTCTCTAAAAGCTATGCAATTTTTGATTTTATTTACAACTTTAAAAAATCCTTTTAGATATAACAATTACTTTGGAATTTCTTTAAGCAATAGACAAGCATTGGGCAAGTAAAAAACTCACTTAAAATAGGTACATTGCAATTCCATAATCATATTTTCAAATTATTCATAATTAATCCATAAAATTTGAAATGGAAGAATATAAAAGTGACTGAAATACTGATTATAAGAGGGTCAGATCCTTTAGGTAAATAATATTTTGCTTTTAGGATAATGTAAAATAAATTGTGTAAAATTATATTTGTCTAACAACACTGATACAAAAGAAATGCAGCAGTTCTAATGCTTTAGGATCTATTCTTGCAGACACACAAATGAAAAGAACGTAACTTAATTAGTGTTAAAAAGTTCAAGTCACATCCACAATTTGATAACTGAATATGTATTGGAGTCTTTTTTAATATTAAAAAGTCCTACAGACTTCCCCCGTCCCCCTCCTCCTCCCTGCCAAAGAACCCAGGGAGTAATGAATGTTTATTTTGCAGCCACTGTTATTGGAACAGCTAAAAATCAATCATCATTATTATTATTATATACTAATGTTAATCCATCAAGGGATATATTTTTCATTTTCATTTCATCTAGTGGGATGCTGGCACATTATTTCAGCAGTGAATAAACAGATGGTGCTCACTCAGTGTAATGAAAAGGAAGAGAATTCTATCACTGGCACTGTGATCTCCACTTAGTTTAAGCTCTTTACCCCACTGAAGTACGCAGAATAATAAAATCTATCTAAAAGCCCTCTGTTAATAAAATTGCTTCTGCAGAACAATATTTTTTTTATTCAGAACACAAGAGCCTTATTTGCTGCTTCAATTTTGAGGGAAAGAAAGGATGAACAAGAGTTTATTTTAGTTTATTTCACTGGCTTATGCACATACATAGGCTGGTAGTGGTAATTTATAAGGCCAGAGGCTCTCCTCATAGCCAAATGTGAAATTAGATCTCCTTGTTTCAGACATGATGGCTCATGTGTCAAAGGTCTGCAGCTGCTCTCACTCTTCTCTTTTAGCCTCAGTGGAAAAATCAGATTCAGCTCACACTTGAACATCATCCCCTCAGGGTGCATGTACACAACTCCTGCTATCACCAGCAATTGTACCAAGGACAATGTATGGCTCCCAAATTTGGAAATCTGAGTGTATCTCAGTTTTGCAAGATTAAATGAAAAATAATAAAGGAACTCTGCATCCTAATATGCTTCAGTGACTTTAGACCGCTGGTTTAATAGAACTTTGTACCTTGTCCGTTGTGTCATAGTCATTAATCAGGAAGCTGTTCCTATCTATAGTTGCCCTGTCATAGATGGAGTACGATAGTGGAGCAGAAGGATTTAACTACCAATTGCTCCAATTTATCATACAACTACAAAGTAATACATGAAGTTATAAAGCTGTTTTAAACACATTTTTTTTAACAGTACTATTCCAGTTAATGCTTTGATTCTTGTGTAAGCCACTCTAGGAGAGACTTCAATGTTGTTAACCCCTCAACTTTTCCTTTCTATTCATATATAAAACATTTAGTAGCATTTATAATCAAAATACCCCATGAAAGCAGGTTGTTGAAAACAGATTTCCAAAGCAACAAGGATTAAGAAACAGTCAGACAAAGTGGGAAGAAAGAAAACGTGATATTCAAATCACTAATGATAACTTAATTCCTAGGAAAACAATCAACATAAATTGCAAGATAAGAAACGTGTTACATATCAGTTCCTACTGACTTGTGAATCAAGACAGTTCATTACTATATATGGTTAAAATCCATATTTTCAGTCATATCTTTCCATAAGTATATAAATAACGACATGTAAAAGATATTAGATGACTGGGGAGAGCTGAGAACTTACTTCAGGATCTGTTACTCTTTTGTTGCAAGTTTTGTGCAGGTGTGCCTGAGTGTTATTTTTAAAGTGATCACCTAAAGAAAAGGCTATTTCATTGGAAAAATTATCGTATGCAATTAACTGTGTCACTTATAATTCCATGAACAGGTTCAGCGTAGTATTAAGCTACAGTTAGCTGAGGCTTAACCCAGCTCTATCACAAATGTTTGCAGGGTAATGCAGAGGAGTTGCAGCCCTTCAGAGCCTGCTACCCAAACTAACTAGTGAAGTAAGAAGCCCAAACTGGCAAATACAGATTCCAAAAGTCATATGAGCATTCCTTATACTTTTCAAAGATGTAGAGGGCATAAATTGTTTTTTTGGGCCTTTCCAAATTCTCTTTACATTAGAGAAGGCACACAAAAGGCATGCATTTTACTTTTCTGTCCTCCAAGACTGTTTCAAAACTCATGCTATAGATCCTTGGCTATGAAATTCAGTATTTGTTTCCTTGTTTCTTATAGAAGCACTAATATGTTACAAACATAGGGAGCTAGCCAAGGCCTTTAAGTATTTCTTCAAACACCAGTTGAGTCCTAATCACCAGAGCCCTCGCTGACACACTGTATTTACGTACATAAATTAATGTAAGTATTTACAGCAGAATCCCAAATTTTCTGTCAAATTTAAAGTTTGCTCTGTACACTGATAAATCACAACTAAATTATCTGGTTGGATGTTTACTACGTGATAGCTATGAACAGCTGCTGCTTGCTGCTGGCACATTAAATAGTTTTTTGCTTAGACACAGTAGATAGTAAACAAATTGTTTGTTCACAAAGGTCTGCTACATCCTAGCAATACCTCATTTCTGATGATAAAATTAACAAAATCTAAAATACTGAAGTGAATACTCCTAACTAATATTCTTGAAGTAGTTTAGTGGTTTCTTGATCCATGAACAGATACCTAATGGGGGGGGGGGGGTTAAAAGAGCCAAATATTTGTTTAGGAAATATTTTCATCTTCTGTATTATCCTCTAATAGAAAAGGATTCCAAAGTAAAAGGTATATCCACATGCCAAATGAGTTTATTTCATTTAGTTCACATTCAAGACTCAATTAGGTCTGGGGGATGACAGGTTTTAACTTAACCGGTCAACAGAGTTTTCCCGATTGAAATTAAAAAATAAAATGAAACCCAATAATTAACACTGTATTTGCTATGCAATTATTTTACAGAGTGTGTCCAGTAACTATGAGAAGAAAAAATGTACATTTTGCCATACAGGGCATGTGGTGAGTAACACATCATTGATGTGACTTTTCACTTAAATTTGAGAGACAGAAGACTGTTTTTTTCCTCTACTCCCTGCTCTCCCTGGCAGTCTAACAAGTAAAAAAAATAGAAAAATAGTTCTTAGAAAGGAGTCATGTTTCCTTTTCTTCCTCAAATTTGAGCAGTTTTCAGTAAAAACCTAGCTAGTAAAAACTTTCTGCCATGACACTGTGAATTGTAATGGGACTTCTTGTTTAGGTACTTCATGCTTTCATTCTCTTCTACAGCATGGTTCCCTCTGCCAGAATTCTTCTCCTTACCACCTCCTGTTCCTATTACCTCCTACCATCAGCCAAGGAGACACCACAGGAGACTGATGCACAAGTGGAACACACTCAACTTATAACTGGAAAAGGGACTAGAAGCGTAACTGATATTCAAAAAAAAGTCTTTTATGATGAACATATTTTTTCAATTTCAAATTATCTTTCTGTGAAAATGGACACTTTCCATAAACAAAAAACAATATATTGTAAAAGAAAATCCAAAGAACAATTTTTTCATTAAAAATAATTGGGACAAAAATCTCAGTCATCTCTTTGGTGATTTTTAGAAAATACATGTTATGTCCTAAATTTGCTAAATGACTCTGAAATTTTCATTAAAATACTGAGAGTTCTTTCTAATAGCCTTACAACAGCAATATATATAAATTCTACTTTTGTTTGAAACTTTAGCTCCATCAGAAAAAATCTGAAGACTCATGTTTCAGATGGAACTGGCTGAGTTGAAAGCCAAAGAAAATAGAGCTGCTTTATTTCCAGTCTTCTTGGTACAGTGAAAGCCAGTCCAACAGCTTGATAGAATCCTGAACTGCAGAGGCCTGGTACATGGATTACTGTTGCTCCTGCACGGATCCAAGGTTGCTGTTTTTCTGGATACATATGAAGCATTTAGGAGAATGGTAAACAGATCTCTACGTTATAGAACACATCAGCCCTTTTAACAGTCATTTAATATGTTGGAATTTATCACATTTACCTCATTTATCTCCTCTTGAGTGGTGCAGTGTTGGAAATGCTGTGACAGTTCTTCCTCATACTTATCAGCTTTGGAGTTCCAGTTGATGCTATCACACTCAAATCTAGCAAGTTCTTGCTTCAGATTCTTTACAGAAACATTCAAGCAATTCTAATAAGGGAACAGATAAAGAAATTTATTAATCTCAAGAAATTTATTGTTTTAACCCATTTAAAATAAAAATAATTTGAGGCAGAACATGAATCGTCAGTCACAATGGACTAGAGTAAACTATCAAACCTCCACTGTAAGGAGAGCAAGTACACAGCAGTTTCAATCACTAGTAGACTGAGGAGCAGTTTTGGGTCAAAGTGACAACCTAAATATGATGTTTTCTCTGAGAAAAGAGGAAGTGACCTACTCTAGTTCTTTACAACCTGCTGAATAGCTCTTTTCTTCTGTAATCAACATATGGAGTCTGAAGAGCAGACTGGCAATGTGAACAAGCTAGGCAAGTCATAAGGAATGTCTTGCTTTCTTCCTAAGTAAATATACTAATACAGGGCAATGAAAATTCTGCCCTGACTAAATAACTCCTTTCTAAAATTATATGCATCTTGTCATTCAAATCAGTCTGAATCCACAAATAAGGTAACACGGTTATTATATTTCTTTTTTTGTTCTTCCGTTATCTTTCTTTATAGGAGAATAAATGTGCAAAGCAACTTTTACAAGCTAGAAGGATTCCAATATATAGATGTGGCATCCAAGAAACCACCATTAGGGCTTTGAACTTCACAAAAAGTACTAGAGAATAGAAAGTTGCGCTTTTTTTTTCCCCTGATCAATGATATTTTAAGATGAATTTTCTCTGTATTTTAAATCTATTTCAGTTTTCTATAGAGTAAAATCAGTTCACCAATCACTGAAAAAATAAAAAGGAATTCAAAGAAATTAATTTTTCTTTACAAAAGCAATTTGTAATGTGAGATACTACTGAAAAATAAGTTTTATCATTTAATGTCTGTATATGTTCAAACTCTAAAGGTAGAAATCTTATAATTATCAACTGTTTTAAATTTTATTCCTGGCTTTCTTCAAAAATTATCTTAAAGCTCTTTATTTTTCTCAGAGAAATAATACATTTTTGTACATCTAAAATTCAGTCAGATAGCTCCAATAATCTTTCATATTTATCCTTGATTGCACAAATGATTATAATTATACTCACACATTGCTGCACTGAAGACAAGATATCCACTCCCTGGGTAATAAGTAGTTTATATAGCTGTCTAATATGTGCATGTTTCTCCTGAGAATTCACAAGGTAGGCTTTAGCATGATGCACATTTTCAGGGTCCTCACATATTTCAGGAATATCCAGTTCTCCTGATTTTGATAGACATTCCAGCTGAAATACATAAAAATATAAAGCAATGTGTGTTTAAAATAGCTGACAATTTCTTCCTTACCCACCTAAACTTTGTTGAATTGGGTTTAAGTAATTAAATTTGGGTTCGGATCTGAATTTTAAATTTTACAAACTTCATGCAGTTTTAGATCCAAAATTTTAACTCTGTTCAATAGGCTGATTAATGATACTTCTTTGGGGAAAACAGAAAAAAAAACAAAAAAAAAGACAACAGGGATCAGAGAGTTTAACTGCAATGGGATGAAAGTATATTTTAAAATATACTCACTTCTTTTTTAATGTGATGGAATTTGACTGTCTTGTCGAAAATCTCATCATATTCTATCATTGCATCCTTTACTGTTTGATGGAAATGAATAAGCTCACTTATTCTTTCAGAATTCTCTTTCACAGGAAATCCTTTCAGGCTTGGCAATTCTAATAATTTTATCAGGTACTCAAGCTCAGCATTCAGTTGCTAGCAAAAACAGCAGAAGTTACTCAAATTGCACAAATATACTTGCAATTTTTTTCTTTACATTTGATGAAATAACCATCTGACAGTTGTAGATTGCCTTGGGGAAAAGTCAATGCCATACACTTCAAAACACTCTCCACATACTGTACTTTTTGCTAGACACAAATTTCAGCTGTCACTGAGAAACAGCCTTGGATGAAAGCAAGTTGAACATAATTCTAGGGCAATAGCACACTGAACTGCTAAAACTCAGATAGTATTCACAGGAGGTAGGAAGTTCAGTATGAAGTATCCCAGCCTAAAGTATCCGTACTCTGCTAAAGTAACGGCACCTGTAAATTCAAAAGCACAAAGCTGATATTCTCCTTGCACTTCCACCACCCCAATGCTTGTGCGTCACTTTACTACACAGCTAACGCTGCACAACACTGGACACTGAAGGTAAAATGTCTTCTCCCCTACCTTAAAAACACACACAAAACCTTCCTCCTGGAAAAATCATGTAAAACATAAAAACACTGCAACCCCAGACAATCTCTGGGGTCAGTATAAATGTAGATCTTTACTGGACCAAAAGGAGCTTTTGATCCACCATTCACTCCACTAGATTGGTTTCTCACCTGAAACTGTGGTTTCATTTGGTTAATCTTTTTCTGTAGTTCCAAAACAATTAAAAGGTCACTTCCAAGGTCAACTGGTGCTGCAAGCTGGAGGGCCTCTTGAAGAATCTCTAATCCACAGGTAGTCTAAAATATATTCAAACAGTTGAGCATTTCTAACTACAGTGAATAAAACCCCTCACATTTAAATTCAAATCTAAATTTGTAATAAGAACTTCCCCAAACCAGACACCCAAATGCTGTCACTGAAGCCTCTGTCTCAAACCCTGTCACTGACCAGGGTGATAAGAAACCTTTAAGACAGCTTGAGAAAACAATGCAGGCACCAAGACTAGAGGACCTATGTCGTCCTGAGATAACAGATGCGGTGGTTTAGTGATAAGTTGTACAAACAGTGGCTACAAACCTGGTTCTGCTTCTAGTCTAGCTACTGTTGCTTTAACAGAGCACTGCACACAGTCCCTGTGCCAAAGAGGTTTCAACTCTCTTTCTGTACGAGTACAAGGTTGGACTTGAGTTTAGTAACTACTACGACACAGTTTAGTTTAGTAACTATTTAGTCACAACAAATAGTGAAGAAAGGAAAACGGAAAAAGGAAAAAAAAAGGAAAAAAGGCAAAAGAAAAAAAGGCAAAAGATAAAAAGCGTTGCTGCTAAAGCAATGATTAAACTTAAAATTTGAAGTGGAGACTAGGACTTGTATGCATTTCAGTAAGGAAAATAAATATCAAAAACATTTCGTGTTTCCTGATGGCTGAACGGCAGAACAGACTATGGAGAAGTATTGTATCTTACTGATCATCAATGTTGCTTAAATGATACCTATAATAGTTGAAGAGAGAGTCACAAACAATTAATAACAATCTAGAAAGGTTTGTCACAGTTGCTTTTTTGGTAGCTATTTAACTTACAATTTTTAGTTGTTCTTTGAATATCTGGCACTGTTGCTTGATGGGTTTTACTTGAGTAATTTTAAAATTCCAGATCACCCAAAGTTCAGTCAGCTCGTTCCTTTCTTTATTCAGATTAAAAATGATATCTTCAGTTACTTCTACAGATTTTTCTACTTTTAATATTAAACTCTCATTTACCTAGCAAATAAACAGACACATTTTTTTCCATATATACACATATATGTTATTACAAAATACAATTAAAACCTCATGAAACTAAAGTCTCAACAAAGTTTAAAAAACCCCCAGCAACTCTAGTGTAACATTTTTAAGATTTCTGTTACCTTTAAATACACTTTTCTCTTACAAATAGGCATAGATCAACAGAATTTGCATACTAAGGACATCACTAAAGTCGGAGTTTAAAATCTAGAACAGGTCAGTAACAACTGAATTATTGCCATCTGATGGCTGTTTAACACTCATACAAAACACAGTAATTTTTGAATAGACAGAACTACCCAAAGTGGCCTTTTGGGGAATAAATAGCAACTGGAAAACAAAGTAGATGAAGAAAAGACCACTCCTTTGTGCTGATAAACCAAGCAGCACTGAAGCATGGAAGGGCTGAAGTGTCTAGCATTCCATTCTGTATCTTCCAGGTCGTTCAGTGCTACAACCTAAGACTATCATGGGAACAGGGTAGCAGCAAATATGTTGTCAAAACACTTCCAGGTCTTTAGGGAGATAAAATCTGAATAAATGTTAAGAGTTTAAGTGACCGAAGTGCAGCCTCATATCCGCACATATTCCGTTTGCCATCACTCTGACTCTTTTAACATTGCTTGGTTCCGTCCAGCTGTGACACACACACTTCAGCCCACACCAACAGCCTGAGCTCTTCCCCTCCTTCACTAGGCTTTTCCAGCTCGTCTTGCAAGCTGCTGCAGGTTACCAACACCACCTTCCCCTTCTCAAACTTATGTAACTGCTCCCTAGTTTGTCCTTTAAAACCAGAAAGAGCAGCTGGTTATCCAGGCTGTCTGCATGAATTGGGGTTAGTTTAGGAGGTGTGGCTCAGGGAATGATTGCACATCTCAAATGATCAGCTCATGAAAGGTTGTTGGAAAATTAGATAGGGATGCCTAGGCAGTGTAGCTGAACCCAAGAATGAAAAGACACCAGGAAAGATTATCTGTAAGTAGCTCTGACATCCATTTCTTTAGAATAACTCATACACTCAATCAGTAAACACTCCTTGCCTCTCAGTGGAAGTAAAATAAACATTATACTGTACTTGCATATATGCTGCTTTCCAGCATGAACAAAACAGATATCTGCACATTTAAAATTTGTATGCATGGACTGGATCATTAAGGGCTCTGACATTGTTAATCACAAAACTTGTTGCATTACTTCAAATAACACTTAGATATTTTTTAAATATTTAGCAGCAACAGTCCTGTTAAAACTAGGTAGTGGAGAAATCACAATCTGTCAGTCACAGAACTAGGATTAGACCTCATCACAGAGAAACACAAAATATAAGACATTCAATATGTTTATCAGATTAAACTCACCACATTTACTAAATTAAGAAAATAGCAACCCATATTTTGTGTGGAAAAAATCTTCTTTATGGTCTTTTGCCACTGAGTATTAGCTGACTCCACAACAATTTTATTTTCAGCCTCTCTGTTTGTCTGCAGTTTTTTTGATTTATAGAATTCTTTCAGGTTTTTGATATTATCATTCACCTACAGGAAGACATAAAAATCAAAAATCAAATCAAAACTTAAGGTGTCATAATGAGAACATTAGTCAGACATGATAAATTTGAATAGCAGCCTCTGAATCTTTTCCTGATTTTAAGATCTATAACTGTCCCTAAAATCAGTGCGAACATCAAATAATAAAATAGTTCTAAATAACTCGTGAGCATGTAGATGGCAAGCAGACAGCAGCAATTTCTCAGTTTCTGTCACATTCCATGGATTTTATAGACCAGTATATCAATGCATTGGTTTTCAAAGGTCTGTTTAATACAAAGTAACTGAAGTTAGCAATAATCAGAAGCAGCTGAAATCCAATTTTTTGGTAGTTTATCACCCAAGAAATAATAAATCCTATGGTTAATTTTATATGATATGATCCATTCCATCTTCAATTTCTTTCTAAATATAAAACAACACATTTGCAGAACCTTAAAATGTAATCCAGATCAAAATGAAAATTAATTGTCCTGGGCATCATTAGCACAGCTACCAAAATTATATTGGTATTGAATTGATTATGAGTTCAGCTAGAGCTGTTTTTTATTTAATTTTAAAGCCATTCAGATGAATTAGCACTTCAGCGGAAGTAGTGCAAGACAGCAGTAAATATCTATATCAACATATTATGTGACATCTTTTTTAAAAGTTATATGAAGCAAAATCAGTACATTTACTATTAAGAGTACATGTGTGGAAGCATTTTCTTTATGTGTATAAAGAGAAGAAAAATTAAAATCCATTACAGTGGAAGCACATTTTTCACTCGTAAGATTTTCACAGTCTACTCAAAGAATTAATGAGTAATCCATACCTCTACAGCTGACTTTAAAAAGGCCACATAAGTTTCTAGAATTTCCAGTATTGAACTGATACTTTTTTCAATTTTTTTCAGCTCTTTACTCAGAAATTCAATTCTGCTAGAAAAAGCTGCCACCTGCTCAGGTTCCAATTCTTCCACATCTTTGATGATTCCCTCAGCTGCTTCCAGTTCATATGAAGCTTCCTTTGAAGGGGAGAAGCATAGAAAAATACGTATAATGACGGAAAAGGACTTGTGAATATTGATTGTTAATTTTCACTAGGATTGCTTTCTTATATATAATTGAATTACTTTTTTGAAGAGCTCATAATGGGCTTTATATGCTGAAAACATCAATTTCTTTCCTGCAAATGATATTATTAAAATAGCTATTTTGAAAGCTAGCATGTCACAATCCACAGAAAGAATAGGTAGAAGAGGTTACTATTGTCAGGGGACGTTATACCCTGCAACAAACAAAGGTAACAGCCCAGCAGGCAAAAATTTGGCAGAAAAGACACTAACAACTAATATACAGTCTTGAGAAACTAAAAGAGGTTTTTGCTCATCTGCTCAGATTTTTATATTTTTACTATGTGCTCTCCAGAACTTCTTTAAAGTGAATTTTATTTCCACAGGTACTCTTGACCTATTCTTTGGGTCCCATAAACAGTTGCCTGAAACAAAAGAGAACTCTGTGGGAGTAATGGAGTTTCAAGAATTCAAAATACACAGTCCTAAAATACATAGTGACATGTTGTTCAGCTTAGGCATGAAATTTGCACTTATGTCAAGGCAGTGGAGGGGATTTAGCTGGTTTTAAACCACTTTCTGATATTGCAGTACTGCTATGGGAGTTGAAAAGGCCCCGGATGTGACTTAAAAATAGACTCACTACAGAGCTGAGTACTGCAGTGCTGTCATACCATGGCTGCGCTCCTTACATGACCAACAGATACCTGATGGCAACTTTACAGTCCCCTTCACAGTTTCCCCATATCGGATTTACTTTTTGCTCTTTTTTTTTTTCCAATTCATCCCTTTTATTTGTCCTAATAAATTACACGGCTTCTCTCTGACTCTGTCTAGACAATAACTAAACTTGGTTGCCTCACGTGGGACTAGCAATCCACATTTGAAGAGTCTTCCTATCAAGGGTAAGTACTAGGATCTTGAGACAGTAACAAATAACACAATGAGATAGAAACAACGGGGGAAACCAACAATATAAGGACTGACTTTTAATGTTATCTATGGTTTTGTTCATTAACCACACTTTTTAAAATAAACTATAGTCTATTTTCCCTTCAAGAAACTCTCAGCATCCCACCTTATTTAGAACTACAGACAGCATGCATCCGTTTCTAGAAGTACTCAAAATCATTGAAGGGTTTTTTACCGTTGTTTGTTTAGCCAGTTCAAGGTGTTTGTTCAAAACTCTTTCCGTCTCACACAAATACGAGCCAATCTCCGTACCAGCTGCAAGCATCAGGGTGATTTTTTTAATCCACTGCGACACCTTCATTTGAAAGCATTATTTACATAATTAATTTATATAAGCAGACCCAGCCAGCAACTAAGTACAAAGCAGCTGCTCCCCCAACCCCCCTGCTCCCCCTCCTCCCCACCTCAACCCCAAATGGTAAGATACAGAGAAGAATTAAAGAAAAGGCAAAACTTGTGCCTTAATATCATATATAGTCAGGAATTAAAATATAAAGGAAGAAAACTCTCCTATTTTCCCCAAGAAAATTCTAACAGGTGTGGTCCAAAACCCTCCTGTTTGCTCTCATTTTGTTGATTGTGCTTTCCTTTACTCTAACTATCCCAGGCTTGTGGTTTCAAAACTAAGGCACAACTGGATTATAATCTAGATATTATAGCCCTGACAGAAATAGTCTTATTCTCCTCCAGGGTTTTTTCTCAGAAGGTACGTGTAAGGCTTCTCTGCCAAGCCAAGAGACCTATTTTTACACAGATGCATGTACAGAATTCCATTTCATTGTCACTGTCAGATGTTATTTATACATTATAACAACAAAACAGATTATGAAGAGCACAGGCAGATGATATCAGACATAGCACGTATAGGTGGCTGCCAGTTGAGGTTCCAACTTTATTAAATAAGGCTGAGAGGCCTTTGAATTTAGCACTAGATTCTTTGGGATACTTTGCATTAGAAGGTTAGAATGAAAAGTGTGTTGCTTGGTAGGAATATAACAATAAGCACTCTTCACCATGTTGAAAAATCATGTGTTATAACACAAGTCTCCAAAATGTTCTCTAATGCAAGGCTGGGAACAAAGTGACTAGAACAAACTGCAGATTGAAACCTTATGTTCAAATTGGAGTCTACACTTTCAGTAAAAATTACCTTTTATAACTGAGCTTTCAGCTTAAGATGCTGGTGACATCATTTCTAGAAGACCAACAGCAACTATCAGCAAATCTTTTATTTTCAGCTAAACTTAAAAATATTTTCACTATGTTCCAATATCATGAGGAACTCATCTACACCATTTATACATAAAAAAAATTGTGGCAAATTTACTTAATGATTGATTCAGAATAGTTCATTATAAACATCATGCAAATACAAAATATCAGATTGCAGACTTAATTATTCAGTCATTAAATTTGATTTACTTTTCTGGACTACACTCTGGATTTCCTCTATATGAACATTGCTGAAAGATGGTATTTTTTAAATTTGAATTTACACATGGAAACTTATTTTGGAGCCACGTGTTTATTTCATCTCTGACAAGTCATTTAAAAAGTCTGTAATACTACATGGGATTTTAACAATTTAAAGAAGGTTGTCCTGCCCTTCACGCATTGGATACTGTAATTAATAAAAGGAATTTTTATTGTGAACAAAATCTAGCCTTTTTCAGCTTTACTGAAAATTTGCTGTGGTTCAGTCACCATGGTTATTAACCCTCAATAACAGCATTCTAACTACAACTGTGCACTCTCTAACAAACCAATATTTTACTTGTAATTATTGGAGTCAGCTTTAATTTTCATAAACCTAAATTATGGAAATGCGATGCACTGCTCATGAATGCATTAAGAAGACAACATGTTATGATGATAATCATCATGAAGATGATCAGAGGGCTGGAGCACCTCTACTCTGACAACAGGCTGAGAGTTGGGGTTGTTCAGCCTGAAGAAGAGAAGATCTTGCAGCCTTATAGGACACCCCTTCAGTACCTAAAGAGCCCTACAGGAAAGTTGGAGAAGGACTTGGAGTGCTAGGACAAGGGGGAATGGCTTCAGACTGAAAGAGGATTTGTCTAGATTAGATGCAAGGACAAAATTCTTCACTGTGAGGGTGGTGAGGCACTGGTACAGGTTGTCCAGAGAAGTTGTGGATACCCCATCCCTAAAATTATTCAAGGCCAGTTTGATGGAGGTTTGAGCAACCTTGTCTAGGGGAAGATGACCCTGCCTGTGGCAAGGAGCTTGGAACTAGTGGATATTTAAGATCCCTTCCAACCCAAACCATTCTGTGATATTATGATGTACCTTATTTAGATGATCTTCAAGTGAGGCAGTCCACTGTTGTTTCTTCAAAGTAAGTTCTTTATAATCTGGACACTGCCTGATCAATTGATCTACTTTTTTTTGAACATATTCCATCATTTTCTGAATTCCTGTCACCCAAGAGCTGAAATGAAAAAGCAGAATGCTGTTTGTTTCTCATTTTTTGCTCAACATACAGGATGATTATGATTTTTTAAAACCCAACATCTTTTCTGTTGATTTTTACAATGAGTAATTTGTGAATTTTAAACTGTGACCCTTAAAAGAAAACTAACCAAGATAAATATTAAAGCAAATCCAAACAAAAATCATAATTAGTAAAACAAAGGAATGACATTTTCAAAGAAATAATTTGTTACCAGTCCCTAAGGCAGATTCCCAAGACAGATATACTAATTCTCACAAGACAAATATCATGATTCACTGAGAAACAGCCTATTTCACAAAAAATTCTGACTCTAGCTATACTATCTAAAAACTAAAACCACAAATGAAAGAGCTTAAAAAGAGAGAAAATATACAACCTATAATTTTGCTTTTAAAAGAATGTGTTTTTTGGACTCTCAAATACTTCAGTGTTTTTACAGTATCTGAAAAAAGACTGTCATATACATTCCAAGTCAACCTTTCCTTAAAGACGGTGTTTTAACAGGAGAAAACAAAATATAAAATTACAAGACAATTGCTTGCCTTATAAATTAAAATGTATATTATCAGGGAAGAAATTCACAATCTGAATACTTGAGGCAGTCTTCTTTAGATTTTGAAGAGGTTACCAAATCCAATTAAGAACTGAAGTTTTGACATTAAAAAAAAAAAAAAGAAATCCATATGTCCATTGATTTACTATTGAAATAGATTTATCACAAGAATTCTTTTTAAACAAACATGTTCAAAATAAGCTTTTTCATTCCTTTAATTTCATCAGAAATGTATGTTAGTACAGGTGCTTATTCAAGGTTTCCTACTTTGTCCCCTAATATTAAAGAAAATTTTGTCCTCCCTTCAGATAAGGCTCAGAGAGTTAAATTCTGCAATCTCAAAGAAAAACTTTATACACTACTAATATGAAGCCTGGTATTAATATATCATTCTGGTTGAATTTGATGCAAGAATTTGACACAAAGAGAACCCAAATTTTAAGTCCTTTTTTGGGAGTACGTGGTTTCAAATTTTGTAAATGACTCTTTCAAAAATTAGCAACCTCTTAGTTGATGCTTTAATCTTAAATTCTAAAAATGTCATTTCTCTATTTTAGCATTCCTTTAAAAAAAAGGTATGCTGAAAAACTTCTACTAGCACCAGTCCTTTTAAAAAAGCAATAAGAGAACAAGATTTACAGTTTTTGAAAAGGATAATTTAGATCTTTGGAAGTATCATTGGTTTGTTATGATTTAATACGTTTATAATAGCAGTAAAATAAAAACAGTTCTTACAGGCAAGCTAATTGGCTGGCAAAGTAACAAGTGTTTTCTTAATGGGCAAAACCTACTGCTTGTATAATTTTTTTAAATTTTGCTCCTGTTTATAATCTTTTGCTCTTGGTTTCCTAGTTAGTTTTAACTTAAAAATATGAGTGCTCAGAAATCAGCCTTACCAATATTTTAATTTTGAAATATTCTAGAATTACAAGAGCTGCCCTCAATCACTCTTCTACCATCTATTCCTCTTCCAATATGAATATTTTCAGCATTTTAATTTATTTGGACTATCTTTTAGCATAAACATCTCAAGAATATTTGAAATAAGGACAAAATGAACATCATATTTTTCCATTTTTACTGTGAGCTGGATTTCCAAGTATGCCACTGAATTTAGTGTCACTAGCCTTAAACACAGTCCTTCCTCAATGTGAGGATATCACTATTGGATTTTTAAATCATAAACTACTCGATCTGTCTTATCATATGCATACAAACTTTTGTTTATTTTTTTTATTTGGTTACTTTTGATTATTTTTGGTTACTCTACAATTGAAAATGACAAAACTATGTGGATACAGAAAACTACCTATGTTTTAGTTATCCTAATGTTCAGGCACTCTGGCTTCTCTCAATGCATTTAAATAAGTAGTACTATACCTAGCAGCTATTTTGATATTGCCTTAAAAATTCATTTTCCGGTATCTTCATTCAAAAGATACAGTGAAAATCAGGGCATTATCTATTAAAACTGACAGTGTTACCCAATTTAAACAAAGTCAGATGATTCCTTCTCTTTATTGTTTGAACAGCTGAAGAATCTGGTTTCCTTATTAAAACTAGTAAAGTCATGCAACTGGCAGAGTATGCCATACCTTCTCTATCTCAGGTGATGAAAGAACTCTAAAATTACTGTGCTTCAACTACTCCTTCAGGGAGCTGGCTGCTACTTTGAAATTCCATACAAATCCCACACTTGCTGCCAGTTACTTTAAGAATCCTGCCAGATTGCAAGCAATTAACAACTATGTATCTCATTGTCAGATTATACTTGCCTTTCTTATCCCAAAGATAAGCTTTTTGAAAAGATGCCTAAACATTTCTGGATCCACATCCTTCACTGCTTTCAAAAGATGACTGCCCATGTCCTTCAAGATCTCTAGTCTGGTTAGATAAAGGAAATGGGAAGTCTGTGAAGGCAGCTAAGACTAGTACTTGTGCAACAGGGGGAAAAAACTAGTAAACAGGATTTAATCTCAAAAAGTGTTCTGTTTTCTGTCCTCCTTTGACCCTCAGCTGTTCATACAAGTCTTATCTCATGACACTTATGGGTTAAACACTGGTCAGCACAGAGGACTCTTTCAATACACGAACATTTCTGGAAGAATGTTCTGGAATATAACATCTTACCACATTTGCTGACAGAGCTCACTGTGTCAACATTATTACACTTATGAGTTGGTTGGGAGCATTTTGGCTATCTCCTATAGCCATGAATTGGGAAAAAACCCCCTAGACTTATTTGGGCGTTTAATGAGTTGAGTGTGTCAGGATCATACTCATGGCAATGAAGATTAGCCTTTTGCTGCGTTCTCCTGGAAGAGTTAAGCCAACAGTTTACTCCCTTCTGTTAAGGGCTTTTGAAACTGCATCTGGAGGCCAATTTCTCCAGTTTGAGTCCCCACAGCACAAGAAAGACAGACAAGCTGAAGTGAATTGAAGAGAGGCCACCAAAATGGTTGAAGGGGATGCTGACAGAACTATGCTCAGAGTAGAGAACAGGTGATGCAATTGCTGTCTTTCATTATCCATGAGGAAGTGGGGTTGTAGAAAAGATAGGATCATTGTCTTTTCGGAGGTGTGCAGCAAATGGACAAGAAGAAATGCTCACAAGTTGCAGCAACAGAAACTTTGACTAGGTGTAAGAAAAACATGTTTCACAAGAAAAGTGTTTAAGGAATAGAACATTTTGGCCAGAGAGGCTGTTCAATTTTCATCCTTGGAGATATTAAAAATCAGGCCCTGAGCAACCTAATTGGACAGGTTTGGGGCATGGGATTGCATTAAATGACCTCTAGAGTTATTTGTCAGCTTAAATTATTCCATTATTGTAATCCTCAAGCCCATACCTAGGAATATTAAGTGTTCTGCCTGCACAGAAGAACTAGTACTACTCATTGAAATATGTGGCAAATTCATTACATTCAGGCAATGAGGCCTGAAGGCAACAAGGAAAAAAAATGAAAAGCCATAATATTCTGTGTCTGCTTTCTTATAAAAGGACTTATTTATTTTTATGATTTACAAACCTGGAATTTTTCACTGTTCTTTAGAAACAGCAAAACACATTTCTATTCAGGTTGCCTATTAAGTTTCACCTGCCCTCTCTAAATCTCTGCTACTTCAGCTGTAAAGCTTTGCCTTTTTTCAAATTATAAAGTCTTCTAAGCAGAAATCTAACCTTATTTATTTATTTATAGAATATCCTGAGTGACACTTTGGCACACAAGAGATATGCCTGTAGCATTACCTGCTTATATTGAATTTTACAATGACCAATAGGGTTATTTTGAAAACTTCATCTCATTGTTTTTAACGTGTACCAAAGGTATCTTACCATCCCACAGATGACCTGGCCTTTTGAAACATTACTTAAAAACTCTTAATAAAGAAAAAAGAAAATGACTTGTCATTTAAGGGACCCATTCTCTACCAAGGTCTTTAGTGTTCCCAACATTAATCAATGCTTTGCAGGCATATTTTGAAACACAACACCTGCTTCTGTTGAGATCACATGTGCAGAACATAAAGTCCTAGAGGACAGCAGCATGTTTTCTGGAATTATGGCTGGTTTAGGAATCAGTCAGAGTTCCACTGAGGAAAGTCCACTTCCTTTATATCTAATTAAAACATCAGGAAGCAGTAACAACAGCTGTAAAAGCAGCTGTAAGTGTTCTCAGCTTTCTATTTGAATTTCTATTTTGTCCCATTGTTAGGTTCAAGACAATTACATCTGGGGTGATGGGTGAAGGAACTTAAGATGATTTTTTTTTTCTGCAAGGTCATGAGATTAAAGTCTTATATACACTTTCAGTTTTGTGTTGATATATTAGAAATAATTAGGGACATAAAAGCTGACCAGTAGACAACCATTAGCCAGGGTCATTTGCTCTGCCTTTGAAGTAGGACTTACTAGTACAAATGGTCTTCATTCTTATTGCACCAGCCTCCTACTAACAGCTGAAAAGTAGGAGATATTAAACCACTAGAACTGATTCTAAAGCAGGTCATGCTTTGTGTCAGGGTAAAAATCGCATAAGTGGAATGCATGATCACTGTAATTTAAAAAAGCTTTGGAAGAAAAAAAGGTTACTTATTCATGGATTAAAACTACTAAAAACAGGAGAAACTTTTGTATTTTCTGCACGGGGCTTATCACCCCTATTTTTATCTTGCATCAATTCACATTCTAATTGCTGTAATTCTGCTCTTCAAAAAGGTTTAAAAGGAGTACAGTGGGCATCAGGGAGTGCTCATAGCTATTTATATTTTACTTCTCAGTTGTATACACTTACTTTTCCAAAACGTTAACTAAACCACTGTTTCTGAATATCACCCAACATACCAACTTCATTGTTCATCATCCTACAACTAGCATGTAGGATTCCTAAAGACTTTGTTAAAGAGATTCTTTTTTAATAAATACCACCAGAGAACTATGGCAGAAGCATTGAATCTTTAAATGCACACCTACTTAGTAAACTATACTAGCTCTAAGCAGTCAAGTTATAAAGCAACAAGTAATTATGGATAAATAATGCATATATGCAAAAATGGAGGGAATACCTGTGAGCATCTGCTTTATTAACTAAAGTTTGTCCCTTTTGCATGGTAGTCACTGTGCAACCTTTGATTGCTTCCTGTAATTCCTCATTCTTCATTGTCAAGGTAGAAAAATGTAACCCTTCTGAGTCAGAGATTTTACAATAATTCTCAATACCTTCAAGACCATCAAGTACCTGAAGGAAAAAAAAAAAGCATCTGTTGTTAATATTTCTATTTTACAATGTGCATGTATATTCTTTTAAATAAACAGATTTTAAATAAATGTTAAATAAACATTTAATATATGACACTCCTTCAGAAATGAAAAGTAAAATTTAATTTAGGGTCTAATATTGACTTTGCAGGTCACAAAGGAACCCACATATAATTCAATAAGAATTAATATAAGTATGGGCATGCAAAATCATGATTACTTTTTAAATTTAAAACTATTCAATTTTTCCAGTAATAGGCCAATTTGACATAATGAAGCAGAACCACAGCAGCAGAAGAACAAGAGTAATACAACGCATCGGCACTTGAAACTTTTATTGAAGGACATTCTTTAGGAGTGTTACCAAAACTTTTTTCCCATGCTTTAAATTTATCAATTGTATACCCAACAAGTACATTAAAATTAAATATATTTTTATTAAAGTGGTATACTTTAATTTTGCACATATGCAGCTTTGATTTTATTATATCCATTCTCTGCTTTCTTTTAGTGCAAGCAGAAGTTTCCTCTATCAAATTCCAGAAAAAAGTGACAAAAGCACTCTAAAAAGACTCCTGTCTTTCCATACAGAGTAAGGACAACATTACAATACTCCATATACTCTACAGTACAGTGAATTATCTTGGAGACTTATAGTTTAAAAATACATTGCTCTTGAAGCTTCAGTTCATCATTGAGAAGAATTCTGAGACAACAAATATATATATATATGCTAAAATACTACCTGTAATTATGTCAACTTTACTATATCAGAAGAGAAAAGAACTCTAAGGCAGACTAGCTTTGACTTTAAAGGCTTTTGCAAGGTTTTAAATTCATAAAAAAGTGAAAATTTAGTAAGATTCTTAGGGGACAACATGATTCAGTTTTCTATAGCATATGGAATATGAACCAAGAGCACAGCAGTTGAAAATAAACCCCTTTTACTGACTCAAAACATCGAGGAGAGATGCCTGAACTCTCTCAAACAACTAAAATCTTCACAAAGAAAATAAAGGAAATGAAAGAAAAGAGGATGAGCAAATGTAATTCAACTTCTATACACAATGGAATAACATAAGACATGCATACTCTTTTGCTATTTCTGGGGAAAAAAAAAAAAAAACATCCTGACCATACAAAGAAAATTTTCAAAGAGCAAGAACACTCTGTCAGGGGGGTGTCATTGAAGGTACCCTAGAAAGGATTTTTCCTGAAACATGAAACCATTTTTGTCATTGCTAAGTATAAAAAAGGCTATAAACTTCAGATCAAGTCAGTAATTACAACCATCTTTGAAAGCTCATAGACTCATGGACCTATATGAATCTCAAAGATCTTTCTTCTGTAAATAGAGGCCATTCATATGAACTCAGAAACTGAGTGAAGTTTATTTATTTTGTGTAACAGGTTCTGTGAAATTAATTCCAGTCTTCAGGACCGCACTTAACAATACTAAATAAAAAAGTCACAGGAAAATTGTAAAGTGTTCAAGAATGATTATGCATTTACAAGCATTTCAGAAGGAGTTAACCTATCAGCCAGACTTACTGTGAGTAGTACTAGTTAGCATATTTAACCAGGTAAGTAGCATAAGTTTGACTGGATTGTGCAGAATGCTCCAACCCTGTCTCCTACACATTCACTTACAAGCTGGTTACTATCTCAAATGATCAATACTCTCTCAAATGAGTTTTGAAGCAACTTACACGCTAAAAAATACAATACTCCAAAGTTAAATAAAAACATGAATCTGCAAACATGCTGAATTTAGTGAAAGCCTCATTTGTTTACTTGAAGTTATCAAAGTTTTCAAGTTTTTGCTGTATCAAAGCAATCTCGGACTATACCATGTATCATTTCCCAAGTACTCCCAGAGGATAGCTACACAGAGATCCCCCTGAAGAAAGTCAAACTGAAGATAACTATATTGACATAGGAATGGATTGACATTTAATGAAAAGCTTAGGAAGGAAGGTACACGACTACAAAAGAGCCAAAAAGCCCGCAAACATGCACAAAATATTGCTTAATATTGCCAAATAAACAACCAAATGCTGCCAAATGCCCTCAGAACTTAAGAGTACAAACACAATGTGACTGTGTTTTTATTCTTCTGTGTTTTTATTTTTCTGAATTCATTAAAAATTAAAATGATACACAAGCTCCAAAAGGAGCTCTCTTCAAGTTAATTCAAAACAACTAACTTTGCTCATTTGCCCTTTATATGTAAAGAGAGTCCGGGTGCATACCCTGAGAACAAGGGAAAATGTCTTTTTTCTGAACTATAGTAACTAGTGATTTGTTCACTGTTACACATAACAGGTGTTGTTATGTAGAAATGCTGTGGAGACACACCTGAGCTAATGCTTTCTTCAGCAGGTACTACCACAAACTACAGCCCAGTATTCTGGAAAGATGTTACCTTTGCTCTCGAAGCAATAGGCCTTCATTTGTGTAGCTCCTTGTCCAAACTAGAAGGGGGTGAGTATCAGCAATAGTTTTAACATTGTTTTCGTTTGCCCATCTCAGATTTCTTATTACAAAGAAATCAAGAAAGATCAGGCTTACTGGAAAAAAAGACGCATGTAAATAATTTCAACTCTGAGTGTTGTTTTTATGTTGTTAAAGAAATACCAAAGGAAGCCGTATGGATTAAAGACAAACGTGATTACAGCCCCACCTGCTGCTCAAAAATTAGTCCAGGCAAAATGCTAAGGTTTTTTCAGCACATACAGCAGATTTATGAAGATTGTTGTTGGAGCTATCTTTGGAAATAAAGTGTTTTTAAAACTTCTATAAAATACAAAAAGTCCTTTTGGTCTTTGAAGACCTTAAAAATAAACTTTTCTAACTAGTCTCCTAACTAAAAGGTTTTGGAAAAAAGGTTGCATTACTAATAATACTGATTATAATTAGCCCCTGTCATTGCAAGAATAGACATTGTTTCTGGTATTCATACTATTCTGTAACAGTTTGGGTATTTGAGCAGTTCCTTTTTCTTCATACAGTCTTAAGCCATTGTGACAAAGCCCTCGATCTTAAAGCCCAATTTTGGAGTGCTCTTCTTAATATACTTCAAAAAGAAAAAAAAGAAAAAAAAAAAAAATTTTAAATGCGTTTGCCAGTTTGGATAGAAGTTTGAAGCAAAATGTCGTATTAAAGGGTAACTGAATTTGTAGTTTTCCCACTCCAAATTGTTTAGCAAACCGTTTGCTTAATCCCACATATATCAGCCTTCAAGAGCACACTAACACTTTTATTATCAGGTTACTATTACAAACTTGGCTTCTTACCAACCTTGCCAGCAGCGTGAAAAAAGTCATTGGCCTCTTGCAGCAGGGCTTTCCTTTCTTCCATATGGAAGCACACTTCCTCTCGTAACAGACAGATTTTCTGATTTGAAAGTTTTAGATGTTCTTTTTCTGTATAGTCCTCTGAAAGCAAGATCCTAAATGCTTCACTTTCCAGTTGTTCCACAGTGGAATTCCATTCCTAATAGGAAAAATTCCATTTTAATCCATGTATAATTATACACAGAAAAGCAATATACTGATTTGGTTGCTTCTTTTTTTTCTCCCTGTGTTTTTTAAAGAGAAAACTATAAAACAGTAAAACCATTACACAGTGTACTTTATCGCTGCTGTGCATGTCAGCACTTAAAATTGGTGCCTTGTTATACTGTTGAGAACAAAAGGAGTATCTAATACTCTACTACAATTTCTCATGCCTTAAGTAACACATTCCCTCCACTTTTTCTAGTAATTAATTAAATTGTAGAGGACCTTTGTTGCAATTAATTTAGCACTTGCTTCCAAAGATTTGTATCAAATGACCAATAAAGTAGACGGAAAAATATTTTAAAACAAGAATTTTTTCATTAAACACTTTGAACCATACAGAGGGAACCACAAGAATACAGGGTAGGCTCTTTATTTTCAGCATGCTTAAAGATCATGGACCTCATGTTTGTTGTTTCTTTTTAGTGACTATCTAGTGAAAGCTTCTGGTTTTGGAAATTTTCCCCCAAAAAAGTAACCTGGTTATTCAAAGATCTTTCACAAACAGCAGCAATTCTAATTCTCTTACAGTGTCCCACCATGCTGCTTTATCCTTCTTTGAAGTACAGTAAGCAGTAGAAGACCTATTTTGGTCTTTATTTCAGTGCATTGACATTGTCCATTGTTTTGACAACAACTGGTATGGTGAAAACACTTGTTTAAAAAGATGACCAACTTATTTTACATAGACTTCTTGACCAGATGCCGTCATTTCGCCCTCCTTATTGGTATGGGCTAGATCTGGCTCAACAACTAACAAGTGAGAGACACCCTACAATTCCCAGTGAGCTTAAATAGCACATGGCAATTCCAATGGAAAGGAGTCCTTTCCTTGCTGAATTCTAGATTACATTGAACAAGTCAGGAAGAAGATTTAGCACTACTCACAAGTCAGTGAAAACCACACCTCAAAATGGAAAACATATGCATTCAGACTATGCCTGTGTGTTCTTGTCTTGAACTTTGGATTGATTTCTGCAGCTTCACAGCACATGAACTTAAGTTGAAACAGAGGGTATTGACATGGGCAACAAAAAGAATTTTAAAATATGCACAAACCCATGGGGATAAAAAAATCATGATGCCTGATGGTATGTCAATACATACCAACACGAAAATCTCAAAATTATGACTTAGATAAAAATACCCTTCATCTTACTCAAAAATACAACTACCAAAGTATATTAAGTGATGAACCTTTCAGTGGGAATTAGTCCATGGTACTAACTGCTGCAAGTTGTAACAAGAGACAAACATTTTAACAAAGTCAATTAAAAAACAATGTAGGATTAAAATTATAAAAGAGATGCTAAATATGATATTAGCAAGCAGATTTACATTAAATTAAAACCAATTTAAAAGGATATTAGGGATTATTTAGGTATTAAGTAAGCCTTTTATGGAGGAAAAATTTTGAAAAGACTTCATGATAATAAATATAAAAGGACTGATAACATCTTCACTGAAAAAGTAGAAATTACTCAGATTACAGATTTATTTGATCAGCACCCTTTTTTTGTGAAATGCAGCATATCCTTTCATCTTGAAAATGGGATGAATAAGAAAAGGAAAACTATGACAATCCTGCTAGATTTGTAAGTCATTGTTGTAAACACTCCTTGTCTTTCTGCTATGGAGGGCCTAAACTACTGTAAAAATCTATAGATCTGCCTGAATGCCTTCATGTTAAACTTACTTTTGCTTTTTACTTTCATTATAGTATTATCAACTAAGAAAAAAGGCAGCATAAAAAATTCAATACTGTTAAAATGTTTTAATCAGATTCTAAGGGCTTTAGTAAGAGAACTAATTCCACATATTTCAAGAAATCTAGCCTTATTTCATTTTGAAAAAGAAAGATGTGCCAGAATCCTAGAATTCCATCGAGAACTGTGTTCTGGTTATGCTTCAATATACCTTTACTCCATGCCTACAAAGATGCAAACCTGTCTCACTCATGAGAGCGAGTTCCTTATATAGGAACCCTTATGAAAAGCCTTCTCAGAGGTTTTCCAAGTTCATCTCACCCAAAACAAGCACTTGAAGGTCAAATGTTGCCCACTTTCTTCTGTGCTATCCTAAGTAATATTAAGCAAAAATGAGGATTATGGGGATAATAACAGTCTGCCGTGCTATACTTTTTCCTCTCTTTTTACCAGAAGAATTTACTTGGGAAAAAAAAAATAGTAAGGAGGTACCTCCATACACACAACTTAACTGACCTATTTATGTACAAAGTACAGAACCCTGACATCCAATTATATCAGCACCAGAACACTGCCATCTTCCAGTACTTGCAGCTGGAATGACTGGTACAAAATGCATGGTCAGATTTCACGGTCAGATTCTAATTGAAATTTTACTTACATTTAAACATGTAGATGTTAATGAGAACTAGAAAACAACTAGAAAAACAGGTTAAATGTATAAAACTTTGAAACACACCTATTTGACTTCAGATCACGTACAGTAGATAAAGTAGCATTTAAACCACAAGTCAATTAAATGTTAATATATATTTTTTTCAGAATTGTGATAAAACAGTTTATTCTCTCACATGCAAATATGTTCTCAACTGAAATTTTTCTGAGCCTCAAATTTGCCTGTAACTGATTCATTGCATACATCAGTACATTGATAATTTAGTCCCCGTGAATATATTTGAAAGGCTTTTACCTTCAGGAACTACACTGCAGTATAATTACCAATCATATAATTCCCTCAAATTACAAATAAAACAGTGTGCACTATTATAACTGGGATTGTGAACTGCTATGACAATTACCATATGAACTGTCTTTTTTGAAGTTCATTGGATGGCTGTATCACTGCATTTAACAGTGAGCTGATAGAATCAACAAACAGGAAAAAAGAAAAAGTAGCTCAAGGTCTGTCACCTCCCAGAAAATTGTTGAGATACCTTAAAAGATAATTCCAGGACACAGAGAGAGACACCTACAAAAACAAACAAAATACAAACCAAACAAAAACAAAACAAAACAAACAAACAAACAAAAAAAAACACCAAAAAACCAAACCAAACATTAACTGAAAAATAAAAGACCGTTAATGTTAAAATTAAGAGACAGACTCTTCCAAGGAAGTAAGATGGCTCTTCAGGAAAATCAGACACTGAGAAGAACCAAACAGATGAATGCAGATTTCCATTCGCTGCACACAAAAGATGAATGCTTAGTTAGGACAAAAAATTGCTCATAAAGAAAAATTCTATTTCTCTACATACTTTGTTCTAGCTATCAAAATACAGGAGTATGTATTTCATCTGCTGTGCCATGAAATGCAACACTTGTCAAACTCCACAGAACACCAGCCTCAGAAAAACTGGCAAGTGCTGGGTTTGCAACCATGCAGACAACGGTAAAGGTGCACAGCCATCCAGGAAGGCCACAGAAGAGAGCTCCAGACAGACACTGAACTGTGAGACAACATTTCCATGCATCTAAGCATTAGCTGTGAGATCTGGGGGAAAAACAAACAGTTAAGTGCAATACTCTTGATCCTCATGTCAATGTCAACAAATACACCACTTAACACCTTTGTTAGAGATATTTAATTTTGTTACTGAGAACGACCTTGTAAGCTCATTGGAGTATTACCGTGTTATTACCTAACACAGCTGCTCCAGACACGAAAAGCATGCAGATCTGTAAACCAGAGTACTCTCCATTGTGCTATCCTTAGTAAAAAGAGGACTGATTCCAGCATTGTTCAGTCCTGGAGAGTAGCAGACACTAGATCAAATGTAAACAATTTAGAATACTACTTTTCTTCACCTCTGAAGTTATTTGGCCACAAAGTGGTGCTAGCAGTTCTTTTTTAACATGTCAAGCACCTCCAATGCACATAGAAATGCAACAGAAAGCACGTAATCAGCGCCAGCAGATATTCTTATTGAAACATGATTTCCTAAATATGCCTCTTCTCTCAGTTCCTGGTGGACAAGGGGGTGGAGGAGGTGGTAGTGGTGGGAAAAGTCCTTGTGGGAGCAGGGGGCCCTTTTAATGTTAGAGAGGGTTGAAGCCTTTTTTTTTTTTTTTTTTTCCAATTATGAATCAATCCTTGGGTTTAATTTTGGGCTCAATTATTTTACAAGCTAGCAATAACGTTCTCAGTGGTTTCACCTCTTATCAAGCTGAGATTCAAGATAAGATAGCAGTCTGAGAACATAATAAATCATTCTCCTTTCTCCTCTCAGCCCAGTCCCATAAATAAGATGCTAAGCCTTCAAATCCTTCTTAGTCTTGCCTCTGAACCATTTAAGCAAATCATTTGTCCTGTTTGACTTAATGCAACAGTACATGTGAGTAAATATCTCATGTGAAACTGTTCAGATATTGGAACTTCCCATTATCTTACTCCCTGTGAGAACACTTAAACTTGCTTTGCATGGCTATTACACAGAAATGTTTTGCTATACCTTCAAGGCTATAGTGAAAACATAAGAAATGTTACTTGAAAAGATTTATTTACACTACTTGAGATTCTAATACAGAAATCCCAAGGTAGTTTCAGGCTAGTTTACCAATGACTTTATTACTTTTAACAGAATGCCATGAGACAGCCATGGACACTCAGACAGTATAGTAATGACACAAATTAAAATCTAGCTATATTTTTTCCAGCAACGGAAAATAATTTAAAGCCCCTAACTGCTTTTTGGAAACATTCAGTTTTGGCATGAGGGATCTAATCAGTAGACAGTAGACATCAACAAAGCCGTAAGCAATGACCAAGCTACAGACAAAGTGTGTAATTAATTAATTAACCAAGTAGTGTGTAAGGTACTCCCAAAAGTTCTTCCTGAACATGAAATGTTTTTTGCAATCATTTCCATATTTTCCCACATAAGCAGACGAGTTAACTGAATTGATAAGATTTCTGAAGACTTCTTGTAATTACATTTCACTCTGAAATTAATGTGGAATATTCACCTTTTTATTACAACATAAGTTGGACACTAAAGGGATCCCTGAAGAGAAAGTAACTCCAACTGTAGATTTAGTGTTGCTAGAAAAAACCTGATATTGTATTTTTCGTGTTGCTAAAAAGATTGCTTCTGATATATACACAGTAAAAACTGGTATCTGCTTTTATCTCTATAAAACATTTAGGAATCAGACTTTTTAAACAGTAGCTCAATAAAATAGAGGTGGAGGAATTTTGAAGCACTTAATGCAGTTAAGCTGTACATTTGAAAAGATGGACCTAATTTCTACAGTGTTTCACAATTTTGTGTTTTACATTTCTAAGTGTTTTACAATGTTGTCACATAGTAAGTTATTGTCAAGGTCATAATGACTCTTGATTTCAGGGCGGAACTTAATTCTTGCAGAAAAAAATATCTTATGACAAAATCCAAACAAATAGAAAATCATTCTGACTACTCTGTACCACAAAAGTGCTCAAGCAAATACTCAAATGTGTGGTGATCACATGTATGTGTAAAAAAATCTATGCCAAACAGAGCTTCAAAAAGCAGAACATGCATTTTTTTATAGCAGTTTGTGTTACAAGGTACTTGGTGTTATTTTACAGCAATACTATCACTGTCTGAAAAGTACATTTATGTTGTACAGACGTAGCAGTCTTGTTATTCATCACAATATCTTGTTGGTCTGAATGCAGCCTGAAAACATATTTTGGGAACTACAGATGTTTGCTTTACAGAAAGCTAGATAAATTGCTAGTATTGTATTTTTTACATCATTCTGTTCCTAAACCTGTTCTCACCACATTACATTTAATAACTTCACAGGTGATTTGGAAGAAAACATAAAATTATTATTTAAGAAATTTTCTAATTGCGCAAAAAGTAGTAAAGCACTATGAAATAAAGAGACAAGGTCAGTTACAGAGATTGAGTAGAACCTTTTTTTGGAGTAGGCTCATTTGAACAAAACAGTGACAAGTAATTTCAGACTTAACAGAAATTTGTGTCATTACTAGGATGAAAGATTGTATCCTATAACACAGCGACCTTGTCATGTTGTATGAACAACTGAAATGAAAATTTTACATGAAAAATGGCTTAGGAGTATTTTGTGTCTCCCCTCAGCTTACTCATTTACTGTTTATCTGTTCTTTTTGTGCCAAAGGTCTGTTGAGAAGAATTTATATTTACATACTCATCTACCCTTTTTTTTTTTTTTTTTTTTTTTTTTTTTAAAAAAAAAAAGTGTTTTCTGACATGCCTCTTAGAGAAGCATTAGAAATATTGTATACTGTTTACCTGACAGCTCTGAAGTAGTTAACTGTTAATTATGCAAAGAGGCAAACACGTGACATTTAACTACAAAGCTTACAAGGAAGCATAGCTGTGAACAATCATAAGCCTGTTAGTTGCTCTCTACACAATAGCCTTTAAAAAGGCATTTGTTTCTATTGGAATAGTTTTTGGATGAAAAAGACCTGCTCAGTCATTTGGGTTATCCAAATCCAATTGCTTGAAAAAGATATAGTGAGGAATGATCCTGACCCAGCAACAGCACTTACCTGATGACTGCACAACTGAGGCACCTAAAAAGGGTTCTAAATATAGGTAATTTATATCATACAAATATAATTTCTTTTCATATCAACTTATTTTTTAATCCCATCTTGCTTTTATAAGTGGTGGTAACAGATTTATTCTCTGGAAAACTGATATTAACAATGAAAATAATATTTTCAATTACTTATAGTTACAAGAAATAAATAGGCAAATACCTCCTCCAATCATGCACTCAGCTTAGTGACAATTATGATGGGAATAGCCGGGGTTTTATCTGTCATGAACATTAATAAAATTTCTTTATTTTTTTTGCCACATGGTTTAATATGTAAACTATTGGTGTGGCACTTGATCACTAAACTGAAAAACCAATTGAGCAACATCAAGGATTTTTCTTCTTTTTATCAATAGTTTTAAAAATTTTAAATGAAAAAAATACTGAGAAGTGTGGAGGCCTACATTAAAAGAAGTACAATGACTAAAATAATTTAGACACATAGAAATACATATCTTATGCACACCTACAAAATATCTACTCCTATATTGTTAGTTAAATGCCCAGGGTCATGTTTTCCTACTTATTTTTAAAGTTGCTTCACCAGCCAATTATGTTATTTCTTACTTTCACTTTGACTTCCATTTCTTCAAGCTCTTGAAGTAACTCTTCATTTTCTAGTAGAGATGAGCCTAAGTTTTGCTTCTGAAAGTAATCTCCAATGTTTTTCTTATACCAAGATGTTACCTAATTAAATAACAAAAAGAACTCAGTGAATAATTTGAGAAGTGATTGTCCATTTTTTAAAAAATGTACAAGACGGTTTCATCCAAAAAACCCCAAATCCATTTTCATTCCTTTCATTTTGCATTCCTAGTATTTGTGCTTGCATTTAGATGCTTAGATTTGTGTTATTTGAATGTAAATAAATGCAGAAGGAAAGGATTAATGTCAAAGCAAACACATAGAGGAATATATGTAAGAAAATAGACAAAAACATATTCCTCGTGTATGACCAGATTATAAATTAACATAGTAAAAGAGAAATCAGTTTATAGCCACATGTAGTATAAAGGCATGTTTTTTGGCACCATACAGGTATTGTACATTTTGCCTTGAATTACAGTAACTTAAAAATATCCCCTTGCATACAGTAAAAGACTACAGATCTGAGTAATTTTGACCTAATAGAACCTCTCCATCTGTGGCTTGAAAAACCCAGTAAAGCTATTGAGATAAAACTGTGTAGAATAATCTTTAATAGCTTTAAAAAAATTATTACAACCTACTAAAATTAATTCAGCAAGTATATTCAGAAAACATATGCAAGTATACAAATATATCTTCCAAATTGCACAGAATTACTTGCATTTATATTTGCTTGACTCATAATAGGTACTCCTCACTTTCTTTGTAAACAACACATGGCAAGCAGTTCTGAGTGAAGGTTTGCATTTTAAAATAGTAGCAAAAATGAGTTATTGGTATCAAGGGGACTTCCTCCAATCTTTTCAAGCTGGAAAATCACCACTATACTTAAATCATATGCAGCATACTAAGAATTTTTGTACTCTAGGTAGTACAGATTTTAACAGCCCACTAGAGAACTTTTTTGTTTTATATGCTCATGTAGAAGCTATTTTTAATAAATTTAAGCAATCTTAAAATAGGAAAGAACCTTTCAAATGAGTTGGAAATATTTGCAGTTACAAATAAAAAATTGGTGACATTATCTCAGGAGCTCAACAGAGCTAGAAGAGTAAACAAATTATTTTACTACTGAGCCTTAATTTCTTAAGCATGTCCTCCAGATGTTTACTTACTGACTGAAACATTTTTCCTGGAAGCACATTTTCACAGAACATTTACTATGGGTTCACCAAAATACAAATGAATGGAGTGGACAATAAAAACTGTGACAAAACTCAAATAAAAATTTCTCTGTAAACTAGGGCTGTTCTTTTTTATCATTTATCTTAGCAAAACAAACTAGTATTTCTGTAATGTTAGGCAGAGGAAAAAGTGATTCTTTATTATAGCAAAGTGTTCACCCTTTTACCAGTTG